TATGTATGACTCAGATAACTCTTCTAAAGTATAAATAACTCATTATGAAATGATAATTTTCAGTTAAATTATATGTCAACAAATATAAAAATAAGAGCAAAGCATACCTTTTTAAATAAATGAACAAGCTTATAATAGCATAAAAGCTTAAAAACAAACTTCAAAACTAAATGTTTATATTTAATAACCGTTAAAGCTCGTTAGTTTTATAATTGATTTCAGTTTGTTAGCCATAATTCTGGACAAAACTTCTGAAATATCTGCACGATGGTAACTGTGTGATTTTACTGAAGTTACGATAGTATTTTAACATGACTAATCACTTCAATATATATTCAATACCAATTTCAGTAAATAATCGTTAAGTAAGTTGTCCTATTCGAAACTTATCAAGTTAATATGCAATATTCCTTAATTTCGCAAATCTTTGGTATTAATTTTGTATCACCTTTCCATGATTATCTAGTATTTGCCACTCTTATATCATTACAAAATGTTCCGTCATTTATCACTTATTACTCTACCTGCAACAAACTTGAAAATGACATCTCCTTTCCCATTCCAATACAAATTCGAAAACTAAAAGTGCAATTTCCGGCATCCTGCAAACTTCTGCTTGCTAGAAGTGCACAAATATCTCTAGTGCATTGATAAAATTACATCACATACGTTACGTCACTTTCCTACTTAATTGATTGTAAACACTGATTACGGCATCCGTTTTCCTCTCTTCCTCCTTGAATAAGCAAAGACAGTGCTATGTAAGGTTGAAATTTTATTGAAGACAAGTCTTTTTTTAATGAAGAAAAATTGTTTATTTGTTATTCATAACACAAAAAAAGATACTAAAAAGCAAAATTCGTGTTTATAAAATTATGGTGCAATTGTCCGTTTCAAATTTTCCTCCTTACAGTGTACAAAATCTTCCATTTCTTGATTCCTCCAGTAGATTCCACGTCCGCGTAACGAATCACTTGATTGACGCAATTTATATGCTCCTAGAAAAAGATTTCGCACTTAGTTCAGCAAATTTAGTTTGCTAATGATATAGAATTTCTGTTTCTAATAACTCCCTTTCTGACTAATTACAATCAATATTTGAAATTAAAGTATAAAAACCATGAAATGAGATATAGCGCCCATATTACAAAGTTATTCTCAGCTTCTTATGGTTGTAAATCGTAAAGCAATTACTCCGCTATACTATTTTGCAAAATTTTGAACACTCGATAGATGTCCGCTGGCTATAAAATGCGAATTAATATGAGAAGTAAAGCTTGTTATAATACCTTTCCATTTATGCTTCAAATTTCTTTTGTTAAGCATGAATTCGGAAGAAAATGGATTGCTAGATTCAATTGTAAAAAGCGAGTTTCAATTTGAAAAGCAAAAATTACAACAGCTACAGTTAAACACTAATAATCATACATCATTGAACAACACACATATGATACATCGAAATTGGGAAACATATAATTCTATAGGAATTTCACTCAGTAATTAAGTTCTATCAAATGCGAGTTGCTATAATAAACAATTATGTTCATGACCTTACAATAAACTTAGATTACTTTTGTCTGTTTGGCACTTTACACCATTAACGAAGACTTACCCAAAGCAATGCCACCAAACACGGCAAAAATACCAGCGGTAGCAATAAAACGCTCAAATCCAACTGGAAAACCCATAGAAATCACCTGCAAGTGACAATAAGCAATAACTGATAACCCCACGATAAATGAATTCACTTATTTTAAATAACAGTGATCTAATCCACTATTCGGTGACCGGTCAAATTTATTGCTGAAACATTACTATCTTTTTGCAGAATTACGAAGATGCCTTGGGGAATTAATCTTAATGGAGTAGATTAGATTCGAGTACCGCGATATCGCGATATTCAACTAACAAGTTTAAAAGCAAATTTTTGTTTGCTTCAATAATCCCACATGTTTTTTTTATCATATGCATCAACTCCAACCGCAAACGCTAGGTAGTATGTAAAATTTCCACATCTCAAATGTCTGACAAATCCGATCCTAAATAACCGATGGATTTCAAGAACATGTAAATTGCACGAGTATATAATCTCTTTATCACTTGAAAAACCAATCAGTTATTAATTAGATTTGCAGAGCAGAACAGATCATATTCGATGGCTCCAAATTATATCTGTGCCGCTGTCTCATTTATAGGTCTAATTGTATCACTCTATGCGCTATATGTGGAAAACAATTTAGATAGTGATATCAATTATCAGCCAATGTGTGATATAGCTTATTATGTTAGTTGCTCGAAAGCTTTTCATTCATCATTTGCCAAAGGACTTGGAGTTGCACCACTTATTCTTGGAACTGATCATATATTAACGCAGGTATGCTAAATAAACATACAACCGTTTGGGAGAATGAAATGTGCCAATGTTAGATTACGCATGAAATTTGAATGTATGACAAAATTTATCCCATTGACTTCTACTTTGGTCGAATGGAACAAACAGCATAAATTTCGAATATTGATAAAGCTGTGCATGAGAATATGCTGTGGTATATATGACACAGACATGTTGAAAGTTTATTCTCTAGTTTATGAAGAAATCCAAAAAGGTTCTAATCGTAATACAATTCATCTGAACAACACTTCAATGCATAATGAAAGAGAATTATTTCAGAGAAATCCTATATACGGTTGTCTTTCTTATACATTCATGTTCCTACTACAATTCATCCAGAGTTCTTGGGCAAGAAAGTTATCACAGATTTTATCAGTATTTATGAACTTCCTGTCACTATATCTTTTTCTTGTTCTTGTTTATCTGCGCACCATTTGCGTAGTTTGTGTATGCATTTACGTTATCAATGCATTACTGCTTTATCTTTCATTTCAGAAACATTCAGTTTTGGATCACAGTTCCATTTATGATAGTAAGAAATTGTAGCCTTCTTATGTTTGTTTTCAGTTTCCCTCTCGACGCTTCTTCCGTCCTCGCCTTGCCAAAGTTGAAATTTTGAAGACGGTACTATAAATTTTGGAATATCAGGTTTATTTAAATATTGATGATTATTAGAAGATCTCCAAGGTACTATTTCCTTCAAAATCCCAAGAATTAAAACACACTGTTTTTATTATTTAGACACTTGGAGAGTGGGTAGTGTACTATATTTATTTAAAACATGTTAAATATCGTGATGTTTAATTATTTCGTACTCATATAAATTAGTGGTTTCAATTGTCGATGCTTAAAATATATGTCAAATATGTAAATTTCACGTATGCGCTGATTGCTTCACACTATTAATTTTGTTTAAAATTAAAAAATAAATACAACTATAACATGAACTCACTTGCATGCAGGACATATTGGACTAAAGTGACACTGAACCGAAAGACACACGGAGCACACCCATCCAATACTAACTGGAGCACCGTGGCAATGGCAACTAGCACGATAATCTATTGAAGTTGATGATGAAGGCGATATAAACGCTGAACGCAGCGATGCTCTTCCAAGCGTAAAACACTATAACACAAGCTTCTTGGCAATAATATTTATGAATAAAGTTGTGAAGCGTTCTTATCTGACCGAACTATTTTCACTGATTTAATCAACAAATATTCGTAAGTGATTTACCTAACTTCTCCAGTAGGGAATCTCCTATGAAAAATAAGTGAAACGGACAAACTTAAGATGCTAACCATTGCATATTCCAGCAACTGTTTCGGTTTTTTAAGAGTGAAGTAAGTGCCACCAGTAATATCGCTTGCCTGTTGCAAAATTGGCGATGTTTCACCTAAAAGCACGACTGCTTTTTTGCTAAATCAATCTGACAACTATCGGAAATATCGCAAGATTTTAGGAAAAAGTGCTATTCACCATTTATAACAGATTAAAATATGAGAAATGTATTGGTTTGCTGCTTTTGCGCATGAGTAGAAAATTCACATAAAAAATAGAAAAGGGGCAATGCATAATATTCAATTAAAAAAAGTTAATTTGAGGAAAGAATGGAATTGTGTAACCAGGATTTTTGAACGTAAGCAACGACAATAATCCAAAAAGCAGAATACAAAAAAACCCGAATTTTTCGCTGTCATGAAACAGATACCTTCAAAAGTTCATATATTTCTCCAGTATATCTACAGTGCTAGTAATGTCCAGCATAGCTCAGCAGAGGGACTGTACAGCTCCAAAACATAAAATAACGGCTGGACTGCGCTATAATAGATTAGCACAAAAAAACTAACCAATATTGGCCACATCAATGAGAATATTGTGCTTATGAGCAGCGAAAAAGATATTCATTAAAATGTTATGCTCCCCAAGGAGATCACTACCAATGTTGATAATAAGAATGCGTCCATCTCCGTTGTCGACTTCATTCTTGTAGCGAAATATATCTGAAGAAATATTAACTGAAATATTTCTTTGTGATCATTCCTGAACTAAACGCTTGCACTTGCTTTTTCACAAGCAAATAACACATGAATTACAATAGACTTTTTACAGAAAATACGAGCTTCAATAACTATATTGATGTCATAGAAACATCCGTGCACTGAATCGAAATTCAGCTTAGTAACTGATAATATTCAGGTGAGTTAAATTTGGCAAAATGGTGATGTGTTTATGGATAGATATATATTGAAATAACTCATAATAAAATCATCTTCCCAGTACTCAAAGTAACGGTGTTACAAACTTTTCGAAATTAGCAAATCGACCTGCAACTAAAAGCAATTAAGAAATATAGGTAGCGAAGTTAATAAAATAAATCATTTTGAATTCATGAAACAAAAGCTAAATTTTTGAGGATGAAAATTTCATATGCTTCCAGAAAACAAATGAAACATACGACAAATGGCAGCAGCCATGGAAGGTGCGAAAACGGCCAATTCCGTTGCATTTGTTGCGGAAGCCGATTTTTTAAGCGCATTTCGTAATGCTGTTTTTACTGATAAACTCATATCTATCTAAAGAAAATATTCAACATTTTTAATTAAATTTTTAGTGTTCATTCTATTCCAAATATCAAATGCTTCAATTGTCAATTATTATCAAGTTCGTCTTTATTCTCACATTATACTACTGTGTTCATTATCAAGACTATGAACACTTTACTCTTCTTTAATTGTCCCACTACTATTTCCATAATCAAGGACTATCATCATGTAAATTTTCGAAGCACAGCTATATGATGGCTTAAAATACCACTATCAGTGATATAAGTTTTAAAACATTCAGCAATGAATTCAACGAATCACTATTTAATTCCGTCACAATCTACTAACTAATTTGTTAACTAACATCTGCTGATGCATTTGAAACGTAGATGGTTGGTTCCAAAAGTGCTTCATCAACACCAATGACGACTATACGATTCGCTGCAGAAATTGACATATGTGCTGTGGTACATGATGCAATAGAATGAATTAGTGTAGAAATTATGTTCTCATTATTTTCCTTCTCAGCCAGTTCACCCCAATGACGAGCATCACAGTCAATTACAATTGATAGACAACTCATCTTTATGCGAATACAGAATTCTGAAAGTTGCAAACTTCAAATTTATGAACTAATGGAATTACGAAAAAAAAATTAGCCCTACAGCTATAATAATAAATCAAATAAAAGAACAACTTCGATACTTCCATTTAAATTCTAATATAAGTACACCGATACAAATTAATCCTTCTTTCGCTTCAGTCCTAATTTCGCATCAGAACTCTGTCTGAATTAATGAATTCGTTATTCGTGTTGGTCAACACATTGCTATTGATTCTTTTGCTTTTATTGCCCAAATCAAATTCAAAGCATTCTAAAGAGCGTAAAGAGCAAATTTAAGTCAAATTGCTGCTAAATTATGTCTTCAACAACCATATCGAAGTAAAGAGCAGAAAATTTTCTTAACCAAACGAATCTCACACAAAATCCATTCCACTAGATACCCATTACAACATAGGAATCTCAATGAATATATAATTTCGTTGAGGTATGGTGGCAATTTTGTATAATAAATGTATGAAGCTACTTTATGCAAAAGAGGTATGAAGGAAATTTTACACAGTCTCATTTGCTTAGTACGCTGGCACAGACTCGTCAACATCACCAGTACCTTGCAAAATATAAATTCGTAAGTAACCTCATTGAATCAGAATCAATCCAGCGATGTACATACAACACATTAGCTTTCTTTCATTAAAATTTATTTTAGAAAAAAAACCGCAAACAATAGGCAATAATGCGGAAGGAAAGAAATTAAAGGGTGACTAGAACACTAAGAATGAAAAAGTTACTATCAGTCGAAAATAATATAATGCAACAACAACACAAAATAAGAAATTTTATTTTTTTTTTAGACGAACATCAGAATAATGAAATGGTAAACGCGCCAAATCTTCAAACCTGGAAGAAAGCTTCGGACATATTAAATTACTCTATTGTACGTCCGCAAACAGGTGTGTGACTGTGTTACGTTCTGTACATATATATGTGTGTGTGCGCTGATCAACTATCCACAGAAGAAAAATCTTTCTTTAATTTCAAAGACTTCAGGAATGACAACTTATCACTTTGTTCTTCTTCACTCGGGCTGTCCTCTTCTGGTATTCTAATAGCTGATGCATCCAGAATACAACCTGGGTGGAATGTCTGCAAGAAAGAAATGCAAATAACTGGTTACCTTTTTTTATGAGAAAAATCGATTTCCAGATAAGTTAAAAAATCATCTTTAGGCGACAGCATGCAAAACTTACTCTGCCATCCTGGCCAAGCATGCAATCTCGAAGTTTCCACACATCATCATCTTCGTCCCAATATTCTTCGAATTTCTCTTTACATACACCACATTCCTTAAAGTTCAAACAGCTAAATTCCATTTTAAACTGTTAAAATACCACTTAAAAGTCTGAATTGGAATTGTTGAGCAATCTCAATAGCAACTAAAATAATTACCTTCGATGAAACTGAGTCGGATGGTATGCTATACGTCCCCCTATTTGTATCCTTCGCTACATCATTAGATCCACCACCTGTGAAAAAAAACTGTCAAAAAGCTTTCCGATTAAAATTTTTTGATTCGAATGCTAAATAATTACATCATAAAATATATTCCTTGTTCTATAAATTTCAAAAGCGAAAAGACATCTCACTATATGAAAAAATATTTATTTACCAGAAAGACGAGTTGCTGATGTCGACGCTGTTAATTCTTCTTGTTCGCTAAACTCATACCATTCCTAGAACAAGCAGCAGAAAACCAGCATTACTTTTATTTCTCTGAATCCCTTATCAGTTATCACGGGTGAAAATCTCCAAGAACGCATATGAAAATACTTTTTTTATTTCTTTTTTATTTCTAAATATTTTTTATTTCTTTTTTTATTGCCAAATACTACACCCTTCATCAAATAAGAATTAACAAAAAAATTTCTCGTGGGTTTCATCTTATAAGAACCGATAACTAAGATGAAATCCCACGAGAAACTGCAAAAAACTCACATCAGCTGGCAAGTACCAATCACGGCAACGTGAACTTTCATTTGATTTTAGATTTTCACGAAAATGCCAGTCAAGGTGCTGTTGGTATCTTTCACCTTTCAGTTCACTAAAGCGTAAACCGCAGTTAGGACAAAGACGTCTTTTTTGATGAAGGCTTTCCACAACAGATGTATACCGTCTAAAAAACATTCAACAAATAATTCATTTAGTTTTTCACAATTAATTAAAAAATTGCTTGTAATCATTCAAATTTAATGGATATTGAAGGCAAGTTGGCAAACTGACATTCTGAGAGCACGCATTGAGAAGGATTTAAGGTCGGTTGGCGGCTTTGGCAGCCTTTCGGTTACTTCACCACGATGTTCAGAAGGAATAGGTGGTGTAACAGGTCGATTGGGTGAATCTCCCCCTGTTTCATCTTTTCTGTTATTTGCATTTAAAGCAGATAGTATTCCCGTGCGCTGCAGTTTGGCAAGTAAACCCTTAACATCAACCGTTGCTTGCGGTTCAGTTCCACTCGGTGCTAAAAAATACAAAACTGAGAATTATCAGAGCAACTGAGAGAGTTCTTATATTTGTCTCAAAAATTAGAGAATCAGAGTATCAATCAATTATCTCATTTTCTTTTTCAAAGCAAAAAAATGCAAAGCAGTGACACCTGTAGTTTTGCTCGACGTATCAGCTCCTGTACGAGGCATATATCGCAGTAGCTCATAACATGGGTCAGGTTCAATTTTAACTTCTGGTGGAGGTCCACCCAATCTGCAAATATGGACGCTTCTCTTGAATAGGCAAACAACAGCAGACAATTTTACTCAAAAACATAAATTTTAAAAATTATTGCATTGCATACCGTATTTCATGGCGTACTCCATTAATCGTAGCAAAAATTGGTGGACCACCAAATGCACCTTTGAATGGATATGTTCCCATATAGAGTTCACGCGATGGAGCTCCAAATCTATAATAAACGTGAAAATCAGAAAGACTTATTCTTTAACAACATCCTGCAAGTTCAATCACTAAATAAACTATAGATGGCAGGAACAGTGTGCATGTTACATGTTACATTTTATACCGATAATTAGAAAGAAGACAATCGTTCAATAACATTGATAGAAGAATTAAAATAACTCTTACTGTATGAAATGTTGTTGTTTCAATCTAATCATGTTACTAAAACTCCTGAAAAATTTACCTTAAAACGTGCTCTTCGCCATCAATTATCACCCTTCTCTCCTCACCAAATGCTAGTTGATAAGCGACACCATCAATGATTACGTTGCGTGGTACACCCGTAAAATAGATCCTAAATTAAAACTAAAACCATTAAAAGACTCGAAAATACCTCGAATTAAGATGTTTCAACTTAAAATTAATCTTAAAAAAGTTGATGAAAACATAAACCTATGTGGCAGACCATTCCTTTCGATGACTGGGACATCATTAATGTATGAAACTTCGTAGGCCCGACCATCCACAAATATTCTATTATTTGCTGGGATACCTTCCAGCTTCGGGGTTTCGTTATTGATGATTGGTGGCACATGGTTTGGATCGGTTCGTGCTAGGTCTTGTGTATTTGTAGAACCTGGTACTACAGAAGGACCTGTTAGAATTGAAGCCATATTGTGCACAGGTATTGCTAAAGGTACCGTTGGCATCATAGGTGGTAGGAATGGCAGTGGACCTGAGGTAGATGGAATCGCAGGCAAAATCATTGGTCCAGAGACTGGAACCATAACTGGATTCGGCGGTGCTGTTATCATATTCGTACTAGAAGCTACTTGTGCACGTCGTGCGGTTGTAATGAAAGCATGAGAACCAAGATCATTTGTTGGACGTATTATAGAGGAAGATGTTGAAGGTGAATTCGTACGACGATCTCTGTCTTGAGGTGGTGTACGTATTCGAGGTTTCTTCTCCACAGTTTCCAGATCTGAGACACATGGCGGCGACTTACGCTTTATATCGTTTGGTGAACGTCCGCCGAATTCCTGTTCCTTTCTGCAAAACAGCGCCAATACAATTGCTGTTCAAGGAAAAATGGAGTGGATAAGCCAAATTTTAAAAGATTCAAATCTAATATCAAGGATGGTAATAAAATCTCCATCAGCTATTCCCATTGCTTCAAACACGAATAACGGCAAAAATGCTGCTATAAAACATGGCGATATCAGCTAAAGATTTTCATACAAGATACAATCCGCTACAATGACCACAAAAGCGATGAGAACAAAGCGAAAGAATACAAAAACCAGAAATACTACAGTTCATCTGAGATATAATATCAGTAAAATGATTTTGATACTTTTTGAATAATGCAAGGGTCGTAGCCTTTTTACACTACATTAGATCCAACAACTTCCATTTCGTTATTGAAAATTAGATTAATTCTACATTAGGATTGCAGAACTGATAAGATACAATCCGCTAATAGTCGATTTTCAACTTTTTAGGCCAACTTTGACTTACTTTTTATCTTAACTTTTTTTCTACTTTTTCTTTGTTCGTTTTACTCTTTTATTACATTCCTTTTCCAGATTATAAAGAGCTCAACACAAAGATAATAAATAATACCGCTGAACATACTGCAGTGTTTGAAGCATAGAAAAACTGGAAAACTTTCTAGCAGCTAAACAATTTTACTTTCCATGGAGTAAAATGGGGATTACCTATGTCCGAAACTTCGAAGACCTGTACTATCCAACAGATTTCCAGTTTGCTGTACATTTAATCTTTCGTCAACATCACTACTGTCGCTGCAACAGTACAAAAACAATATTAGAATATGGTATTCTTAACGACCCCAGTAAGAAAATGAAAAAATTCTGAAGAGACCAAAGTCCTTATAAATAAATAGTTGGTTAAGTCAGTAGAGTAAGAACTATGACTATACATGAGTAAGAACTATGACTATACATTCCATATGATATATAACCAACACACTTCAGTGCATACACAATTTTCTTCATTTAATATTAAATGCTTGGATCGGGCAAAAGTAATGCCATTTTGAGGCATTTATTTCACAACTAACTGGCGAATGCTAATTCCTCATCGAGAACTCTCACCTCGACTATTAATGGTTTGCATGGATTTTAAAAACCAATAAAGAAAGTAAATTTACATTGGTTCCTGCTTGACAATGATATTTTCCGGCCGAGCCGCAAGCAACGGTGCTGGTCTGCCAGCTACTGCTCCATCAGAATGCTTCATCAATCTTGGATCCAAACCTATCTTTTTCTTCTCACAATTCATTTGCTGAAATAAAATCATTAGGGACACAACAATATAAAAAAAATTACCGTTGCTTTCCTTCCGTACTCCTCGATGTTTTGCTGCCGGATACCGATTGAATAAGTGAATCACTTATATACGTAATTCATTTCCAACGATGACACCTATGCATAATATTTCCTTAAAAATGCATTTCCGGAACAACTAATTTTGGAAAACTCCTAGAAAAGACAGTTGTCCGGAAAAGCTGAATCGATATAAGTGCAAAGGTGAAGAAGAAACGCGACAAAACACCATCAAATCCGCTATCAAATTAAATCAGTGATTTTGCGCGACAAAACTAGCAGCATGAAACCAACAGTTAAAAGATGTTCCAATTTTTTCAAACCAGAAGAAACAACCTTTCCGCAATAAGATGACGATTGATGCTAACTGTAAACAACAATAGCAATTCTCTGGAAAGCACTTTGGGGTTGTGGGAAAAAAGCATTAACTGAGATGTATGAGACACCCATTACAATATTTATTTTTAAGTAATGAAACTGATTTCCACAGAAGTTTGGAACTGATATAATTGTAATATGGACAATACACAAAATCATTTTGTTGCAATAATAAACATTGTATTATTATTAAATCATGTACCAATTTGTTGTCAACAGTAGCACTGGTAGCAGTGGTAGTAGCAGTGGCAGTAGCAGTAGCAGTACCAGACGTAGCTGTAACAGAATTTTTCTGCAAAAAATGTGGATTGACATGAACTTTCCCTGCTGCTCGAAGTTGGTGTAACGTCATCCCAACAGGTTGTGGCTTATGTCCAGATACTGGAGTGTTAACTGGTTGAGGAGTAACGATTGGCCAAGCTGGATCAATTGCGTTTACGGCCAAATCTATTTTATATAAAGTTGAACGTTGAAATATTCCCGTCCAAGTTTGCCTGAGTTTATGCAGTGCTAAACGTGTCCTTTCATCACCCTGCAAACACAATTCCATCATTCCTTTACCATTCCTTTTTTCTTACAGAGAGTAATTTATTTTAAAAGCACATTTAATATAAGAATAAAACTATATAAGAATATAAGAATAAAACTAACCGTTTCAAAAACATGCAGAAATACTTTATAAACAATTTTTTCAATGTGCTCTTTGTAGTTACCAGCTCCAGTTATATTTTTTAATATCGAATCCATAACATACATCACAGCTAATTTTTGAGGTGGCACAACCTGAAATTAAATGGCTTGTGCTAATCATGTTAAGGGCAATTCCTCACGATTTATCGTATCAGAATGTTGTATGTTTTTTGCCTTGACTTCTAGGCCAAAGTAAAATAATTGATTTCAATCAAATTTTGGCGCTGATTCCATTACGGATAGCTCCTTATGCACCTTATGAGTTTATATTTATTAATAGAATAGTAAAACATCAATAGTCATAGGAAAGAATTATGTCAACTCTTAATTATAATCCATAATCAAAATTGTAGCAATTTTGACACCAAACTCACTTTCATAATCTGTTGAGCAATAACAGCGACAATTTCTTTAGAAAAGGAATTGTAATCATCAGCAAGAATAGTCATCAAATTAATTTGCATTTTGTTGTTATCTTTCAAATCGTCCAATGCCTGCCTATAAAAAATGAAATGAAAAGACTCGTCAAAACAAACATATTCGATTTGCAAACCAATTCGATAAAAACATGAACTCTTTATATATCACTTAGTAGCAAAGAAAATATTGAAAAATGCAATGAAATATGAAATATCTATCAAAATATAACTTGATCTAAAACAAACTTTGATAATAAAAACAAACCTGTATTCGAGCGCAGCTTCTTCGGCATTCTTGGCCATAATTATCAACAACAAATACTATTACTCGTAATCACACCTGAAAAATATTTTAACAAATATCGTTCTTCAATGACGTTGAAACGTAGTCGGAGGAAAAGACGTTTATTCATTGCAAAACAAGCTGTCGGAGGGTTATACATCATTCAAAACAATTATTCAAACTTCAATTTATTATCTGCTGCGAAATATGACACAATCATAGTTCACTCTGGCCCTACTCAAATCCCTTCATGAATAGAAAGCCTTGAGATACTGCACTCCAACATAAAAAAATCAGCAGCGGAACATAATCAACAGAACCCATAAATGAGTTTGCAAATCTTGCAAGATGCAATTTGCTAGCAGAAATGATATTTGTTGAGTCTAACTACAGATTAAATGATACAATTTTCTCATGTGGCATGGTACTTTACACTCTCGAAATGATAAACTAGTATTACTCGTAAAATCGGAAATTGCCTATTCGGAAAGCTCGAATCTTCCTAAGAGATTGGTTAAAATACGTAACATGTAATATATCGTCTTCATCTTACACAAAGGCCCCTCCCCCGTATGTTTCCGAACGTGTTGCCACTCCCCATCCTTTTACTTGTTACCCCCAGGCATATCTGTTTAAATGCCAATATCCTTTCTTGTGTTTTCCCATACGTTTTTGGAGACATATAATACAGAAAGTAATGAAGATATGACATCCCATACGGTAACTTCCTCATACAAATGAGACCATCTTGCTCAGATCTGAGAGTTGAAAATTAGATGCCACGCAAGGAACCAGTCAATAATTTGATAGAGAGATAACATATTTTATCTGTACATCACTTAAACAGGAAGACTATTCATGTACGCAGTAATTCCATTTTTATAAACTTTGTTCGATTGCTCAGAGATCAAACTTCAACTTACCATACCTATTTTAATTCCACATTTTCTGAATGACAACAACAGCTATCCATATAAGGGAAATGATAAATCGAAGGCCGTAAACCCCTATCAAAAATTACGCCATGAAATGTCAAGATGTATAAAAATGTGATTTTATGTCAGCAATGTGATTTTATGTCAGTAACAAATGAACGCAACGATCCCAATTTTATCCCATCAAATAATAAATTTGATGAAATAGTAATCACACAAGCATTGTTGCAATGCTTTCAACTTCATGTAACACTAATACCACTCTGATAAGGAGAAACTGACGGCGACAAAATTAATCAGTTCTGACATGCAATTTAAATAATTTCAATGTAACGGAATGATATACTCAAGTTATTTAAAGGGAATGCATAAATAATTCACCTTAGAATGCATTATACACCTAATAGTAACAAAATAATCTCTTCCATACTTCTAAACCAAAAAAAATTCACACCACATCAAAATAAAATCTAAATCTGCATATCCCTCAAAATTACATGACACAAAACACTAAATGTAATCTGTGTTGTGTTTGTTGCAGTGTGATACCCAGCCTAGTCTCCCAGTTCCACCTCAAGTACCATTTTCAACATTATCAATTTTTTATGGTGATTTTCAATGCTTCTGATCTGTTAAGTTAATTGCATACAGTGACGTCATCGCATCATATCATAGCACGCTCACAACCTTTTAACAATGACACTTCATATGTAATACTCGACCAAAACGGATAAGCTCTATGTTATGAAATCAATAATACATCATGTTGTAAGAATAAAAGTAATAAAGTTAACTGCAACCAACAAAGGGTAATTCAAACGAAATATCGCGCAATCGTCAGCACTGATCAGATCCGATATTTGCTTCACTTTGTAGACGATCCAGTTATTATTTCACGAAAATTCAACGCGTTGTGAACACGTCCGATAGATCCTCTCACCTTGATCAAGCCAAACAATCGCCAATATCGCCCGCCGCTCACCGCCAACACAACCAACCGCCGCACCAAAAAACCGTTTCAATGAGCAGCACGAACCAGCCCTTGCCCAATGAATCGATGGCTTTATTCTATAAGCTGTGAACCATATGAGACGATGCTATAGGATCGCTGTGCAACAGTAACGTCCCATCTCTGTTCTAATAATTGCAGGGGTCTCCCGGGTTGAACGTGTGCATGCACGAAGTGAGAATATTTGTTAGGAGAAAAGCATGTTGGAAAGAAATTAGCCAGTATATCATCACATTAGTGACTTCATATAACTTAGAGAGCTTTAAGCTATGTTATCATTGTCAACACATAATGTCTATTAGCAATCCATGATAGTGATAAAATGGTGAAGCTTTTGACCGGTTGTGGAAGCATTTACGCATTTACCGAAAATTTCAAACTATAGCCGTTTGAAATCGCACGAGCTTTACCCCTAACCTATCTCAAATATCAGTCGGACGGAGAAGATTATTCGGCGAATCCTTTCTAATTGATTATTCGGTCTCTTTTAATTATCCATAATCTTCAAGGAAAGAATTATCCATAATCGTCAAAGTAGCAAACAATTATAAAGGGATGAATCGTTTTACGTAATTATAAATAAGATTCAGAGAGCACTTGTTAACTCGCGGATATGGTGTTACTTGCAGTTGCTCTTGAACAAGTCTAAATGCTTTCATGGGAGGGGGACGCGTTGCAGTGAGAGTAAGTATGGCTCCGTGAGATGTGAAAGTAAGTATGGCTTCGTGAAATACAAGATCTGAGCATCATACTGCTGCTGACAGCCTCGGCAAGAGGAAGCTCAGATACCAAGAGGACAGGCAAGAATTCGAGTTGCTAAAAATGGGGTGTTATTGCTATCTGAGTGCAAGCTTACATAGGAAAGTGATTGGGGCGGTATGGGCAGTATTGAGATGGACGATTGGAGTATTGGTGGTCAGAAGGATGTACTCGCAGAAAGATCGGAAACTCTCGACCAGATAATGGATTCGTTAACAAATGGATTAGATGCATTCTCCGCAACAAATTTTCAGGAAAGAGACATCGGTCAAGGAGTGCAGGTACCGGAGAATTGTCTTTCGTACTTGTGATGTGTTACGTTATTTTATTGGCTTGCATATCTATAGTTCACTCTCCAAAAATTCAACTTCTCAAAGATGCAATGAGGGGATATGTTTGAATTTGTAGGGATTTTTGAATTTTGATTCATGAGATTTATCTTCGTCAGTAATTTTTAAGATACTAACACTTGAACGTTAACTCATTGGTTATGGTTTGGTGCAATGGCAGTTGGATAATACATGCAGAAGAAAGCAAATTAGTCTGTTAAATTTTCAGGAAATTAAAAGCTTCAAATTGTTCAGGTAGTTCCGTGTACATTGTTTGGATCAATCGAGCAGGGCGACAAGGAGCAGAAATTAGACCGGAAAAAAATCCTGAAAACAATATCGAGAGATGGGAAAGAGTTATCAAATGCTGTGTCCTTGAAAAGAGTAACTTTCGATGTAAGTTAAAATATTGATATTTGAAGCAGCCACAATCCTTATAAAGGCTCCTATGTCTTTCAGTACAGCTCATGGTTTTTTAACTCTCGATGCTAACCGCTGAATTATTGAGTAAGTGGTAGTATTTTCTCGATTTGAGCTTTTAGGAAGATATTCTCTTTTACTTTAATAAGATTTAGCATTTCGATGCTTGAATAAAATTCTTGAGCTTGAAGTTACACGTGATTATTTCAGGTAGAGAAATTTGCCGCTGATGAATGTGGTGATGCAGTAGAACGCGATGAGGCTAGGGCTCGATTAGCTATGAAGCTAGGAGCAAGACCGTTAAAAAATCATTATTTGAATTACAAACAGCTCAAAAGAGAACTTGATGTGAAGAAGAGTTTAAAAGTTGAATTTGATAAGTTGTCAGCTTTGAAAGCTTTGAAAAAATTGTCAATGAAAAAGAAAGTAAAAAAGAAGATATCTCGGAGATAATGTTGCTTCTCATTTCGGATTTTCTCTCGAAGTTTCGTATATATATTATCCGAAGGCACTTATTAAATGGGATAGAAGATTTTTTTATAATGAGTACAAATCATATGGTGATAACTGAACATTTCTGAATGATTGTCTTTTGCTTTGGGGAAATAAATCTTAAATAATATTTTGGATATTAAATATATGAGTACGTCTGCGATAATAAGTGTTATGAATCGAAATTTGATTAAAGAATCTCTTTTGTTGGTCATCTTGTTTCTGTTATACATATTTTTTATTGGATTTAATAAAGATTTTTCGAAATTGTTAGTTCATCGAGCAATCGGTTCCATCACGGATGAGTATTGTTAGTAGGCTTAGGCCGCATTTAGAGTTCGTTTATTTTATGTTGAACTATCCCTTTTCCAGGAGGATATGTGGAAGGAGGGTAGTAAATCGTCAGAAAGCAAAAGTAATGACGACAAAGCAAGCGATGTAAGTTATATTTTAATGTAAAGTTTATTCTTGATTGGCACTTTATTATTTGGTTTTTTCTTTATACGTTTTTGAGATTTATCTGTTAATGGTTTTTCTATACTACAACTTAATCTATAACAGTTAATGGATGTTAAGGCAAGTTCATATCATTCTAAGATATTATTTTCCCTTAGTATTTGATTTTAAATTTAGTTATGTGAACTGAATGCATCGACCTATAGGGTATTAATTATTGGAAGTTCGATACGTGTTAACTGACTACATCTGGAGAAAGGAATAGCCAATGAGTCAACCAAGAAATAAATTTAATAAACTAGTTCAATAATTTGCTCCACAAGTCAATATACAATAGTCTAGTATAGTGCGTATATAGTTTTTCACCTGGGGATGTGCACACCTGATATTAGTAGTGGTGTAATTCGATTTGTCATTTTTCATTATTTACAGCACGTTTTGTGTGTTCCATAGCGTCCATAAAATACAGAGATTTTCTTACAGGATTTTCGCTTATAAGAAATTACATGAACAATTCTGTGCACTAGGCTATTATAATTTTTAGCTCTTCTAGGGGGCTTATATTATATTTAAGCGGGCTTGCATTCAAAAAAAGACTTAAATTATCAGATGTTGCAAACTTTAGGAGCGCAAAAGTGACGATGTTGTTGAAAGGAGTGATGAAGATTCGCGTTCAGGGTCACCGTCGGAGGCATCTAGATCTCGTTCACGGTATTTTAATTGTGTCTAATTAATTTTATAAATGGTCGTGGTTAGGAATGTAGTGGATTAGAGGAATGTAGTGAATGTAGAGGAATGTAGTTAGGAATGTGAGTTAGGAATGTAATGGATTTATTTTCTTTTTTAAATCTCAACTCTTTTATGTTGCGCCAGTTCGATTATTTTTCAGTGATCGCAGACAATCGAGTTCATGCTCTCGCAGTCGTTCGAAAAGTCATTTAAGGTAATCATGCGCATTTGTTTTTGTGTTAAAAATAACAGTGTATTTGGTAAGAGAGCTCGATAAGGGATTTTTCTGATCATTTGGGTTTTGAAATGGTTTTGCTGAAGATTATTAGATTATCTAGCTGATTTTTAAATTAGATTATCTAGCTGATTTTTTATGTAAAAGGCATTATATAAATTATCGTTACATTCACCATTAAATGTGTTTAGATCAAGTCGTCGTTCTCGATCTCCACGATATCACCGCAGTAGCTATGATGATCGCAGATACACATTTTCTCGACGCGATGAGCCAGAACCGTCTCGATGCCTTGGCGTTTTTGGCTTATCTCTTTATACAACGGAACGCGACCTCAAAGTTCGCGTTTTTTAAAAATTTATTGTTCGTATGAATAAAAGATTACTTTCGTCATTCAGCCTCATCTGCTGAAAGGAAGCTATAGGTATTCTTATTATTTTGAAGGGAAATGCGCAGCGCTGCTTTTCTCTTGGCTTCTGCTTGATATGAAATGCCTTTGCATTCGGCGTTAATCAGCACTTCAGTTTTTTAGTGTCCCGCATTTATATTCCCATTAACACCAACAATGCTTTCACTAGAACGGTTAAGACTTAAAAAGTGAGATCTAAATGAATGAAATTGAAAAAAAGGAAATTTGCAGTGTTTGCATAACATATTACTAACTTGCTGGTACCAAAAAGGATAATTTTTTACTTATTTAGTCCTTTTTTAGGAATTATTCTCACAATATGGAGATTTGGATAATGTTCAATTGGTATTTGATCATCCAACCGGACGTTCGCGCGGTTTCGGTTTTGTTTATTTTAAAAAAATCGAAGATGCCATGGAAGCAAAAGAGCGACTAGCCGGCACAGAAATTGACGGCCACAAAATTCGAATCGATTATTCTATAACGAAACGACCTCATACACCGACGCCCGGCATTTATATGGGAGCTGTAGATTCGCGTCGACGCGCTCCTCCTCGATCATATCGTCGGAGTCCATCTCCATATCGTAGTTATAGACGATATCGAGATAGCCCACCAAACAGATATTACAGCAGGTCTATTGATAGTTTCATAATAAAGTGCAACAAACATTTGGTATTTGTGATTTTTCTGGTTAGAGATGAAATAAAAATGATTGATGTTTCTATGCATCCATTTTCATGGTTTTTTTGCAGAGGGTATGATTACGACGATTATGATCGTTATTCGCCACCGTATCGTGACCGCTACAGACGTAGTCCGTCCCCTCGTTACTACGATCGGAGGCGTTCTCGATCTTACGACCGCGACAGGGACTATTACTGATTTGCAAAGAGCAAATATCATGCAAAAGCAAATATCATTTTTTTTTTTTATAAAGTAGCAGTTGTTTTTTTTGATTTACTTTCATTGTTTGGTTTGTGTGTTTTAATTGTTTTCTCTGCTGATCATCGCATTATTGAATTCTCTCATTGTGAATGATAATGCCACTTTTTTCCAAAAAATTCTTTGTTGCAGTTCGCTGCAAGCCAGAAACGCTTGAGTGAAATGATGATAAATGAAGAAAGTGAAATGAAGAACTTTGAAGAACACAAAAATTCAGATGATGAAGAAAGAATGAAGATGAGGAAAAACAGAAGAGCTCTGGGATTGTTTTTGGTTTGAAGAGAGAAAATTTTATATGAAGAGAGAAAAAAAAAGGTGAGCGTTATTGCTTGCTTAAATTCAAATTTCAGCTTCCACCACAGCAAAAACTTTTCCTTGAAAAAAGGACGTTGGAATAAATATGTACAGGTAACTTGTATTCAGTATTCCCAGATGTTATTAATTACGCATCACACGTGGTTCAATTTCTGAATATGAACTGGCGTGTTTATGGGTTATTTGTATTGAGTGACATTAAAAAATTGATGTTTTGTGATTTTTCACACTATGTTCAATACTGTGCCAATCTTCCAGCATCCACTACGATATAATCTGAAATGTGAAATTCGCCTTAGCTTAAAAAAGCACCCCATTTCTAATCAGAAAACAATTGATGTCTCAGCAGTACTACTGATAACTGTAGTCGAAGCAATGGCATATTAGATTTCAAAAAAATCAAGATGGAGTAAGTCTTGTCAACATTGATAGAAAATTACTCCAGACTTCACGTTTGTGTCGAGTCCAGTTCACGAGACTATCAACTTGGAAAAAAAAATTTAACCAAGTAAAACAAGCCTATTTGATGCACCTACATGATCTTCTTCTCTTGATCACCAAACTTCATTCTGGTAAATCTAATCCTTGCATTAATGAACGTTAATCTCTGCATAGGATGAGGAGGGTGGATATTAAAACTTTATTCAATTTAAATAGCCAGCATGAGTCCTCTTTTATGACAACATCACACATTTATAATAGCGAACGATCAGATATCTTCCTGAAACGTGCAAGCACATGAATACAAGAAAACATTTCTGCGAAGTCCTCATCCGCAATAAAATTAGGAGATATGATGTTTTAGTTGCTTCTACAACAATGTTTTTATAAGAACAGTGATATTATGTCCGGCCACGTATAAGCAGTGTTTTACAATAGAAATAGAAATCAATGTTTTCGACGGCGAGGCTTTTTCTCCACCACTTCTATTGATTCTATTTTTGGCTCAGGTGAAGTATTCGGTTTCTCCACCTTCATGAGACGGAGTCTGAAATGATTAATCACAAATCAAATCGGAATTTTACGCTTCAGATCTAAACATTTGTTCTAAACATTAAAAAGAAAAAAACTGATCAACTTCCTAACCGATATTGCTCCTCGCGTTGCCGAATGCGGTCCCGACGCTTGATCAACTTTTCTTGCTTTTCATATTTCTCATGTCGCTTCAGATAAGCTTCATCAGTACAGACCTAAAGAAACTTGATTATATGATTGGACAATGTATCGATCCCAAAGATCTTTTGATATCTTACGCTGCTTCTATGAGAAAATGTTTATTAAATAACGTATGATCGCTTCCATTTCAGCCATATTGAATCCTAACTATATCCCTGCGATAACGGCAAGTCATTCCATCTGATTCCAATGAAAAATTTTCAATCAATAACTATATATGTTTTTTTGACGGAAAGAAGCTAACATTATGTATTATGTATGATTTAATCGAAATAATCTCATACCTTACCTACAATTCTTATCTACACGAACATTTCATACTTTATTTATGAAGTAAAAGACAAACTTCTGCATGATGACGTGGGGTAGCTCTAAGCGGCTCCAGATCCGGCATTTTTCGAAATCCTGGACACTCCACTCGAGAATTTTGGGTGGGTTGTGAAGGCTTTCGCACTAATTCACTGTATCCTTTCTCCTTCAAACATTTTTGGGTAAGAGAACGTCGACCGTTCATCTGATTTGGCTTTTAGCTGTTAGTAATAATGAATGATTTATCTGAATCAAAATGTGCTCAACTATTTGACCTAATGGAGGGAATAATACGTCGATCATATTTATGCTAATTTTATCCAACATTTCTATAGCAAAGAAAAAAAACAATCCTTCTTTTGCACAGATCTGCATCTCTTCATTGTGAGATGGACTAAAACTACGATAATGGCTTTCTCTACGGAGGAGAACTGATTAAATATAATTTGCCGATCGAATCCAAGTTTTCCGCAATTCAATAGCTTCTTTGATGACAATTTCCATGTTGCTCGAAATGATAACAACTAGTATTATTAAGGAAGTCGAAATATGGCTGACCTGTTGAAGAATAATCCGGTACGCATTGTTTTCCGCCAGTAGAGGTACATGTGCTAATGTTCTGCGTGCAATATAAGCCTGAGGATGATCGAATTCGTCATACTCATCATTCTGTTGATAAAATTGATCAGCAAATCGAAAATAAATATCATATACTTTACATCCGTCTGGAGAGCTCAGTAAACTTTTCTATGCTGAATTTTTGAAAGAAGCCTAGCAAATTTAAATTTCTAAAATAAATAATTATTAGGCATGCACGACATCCCTTAATATCCTCTTGATTTACAGCATATCGAAGTGAAAACGAATCTCTTCTTTAGCAAAAATCAAAAGCTATAATTATTTTGATCTAAATTGCACTGAGTGTAAAACGCTTGCATATCTGCATGCTAGCCATATCATTCGCGCCATGTTAACATATCCCATTGTAATTCTTTTGAAACATAAACTTACAACGCGTATCGCAGCAGCTCGAGTGATGGCACGATCAGCATTATTACGCAATGCATTTAATGATATTGCAATTCGCAACGGTTTTCCCATTGTCCGTACTGCACGATAAAATATTCGCGTCACATTAGGTAATTCACATCTAGAAGACTCTCCACACAAGTCCTAAATATCAAATATAGGGAAACATGTCGGAAAGAAAAGATGCAGTAGAATACGAATCAATTAATGTCCTGTTATATTTTCCCATTTTCTTTTAATCTAATTGCTACTATTTAAAAGCGTGCGTACAGCTACATGGATTTCTCGATTCTCCACAACTTTTGCAATTGTCGCACTTATATCCTACACATCTTTTAGTGAAATGGTAAACAGTATACATTGCTATATCACTAGAAATTGACTTAAGATTTGATAACACATCATGAAATATCTGAATTAGCAATTTCCGCTATAACTATAACTCTAAACATATCGTTAGGGATTAGTTAAGGGGTGAAGAACATAAATTCAAGAATTTGCTAGATTTTTTGTTTTTTCTTTTGTATTTAATCCAAAATAATTGGCTTGCATAATTAAGAAATAAAGAAGAAATGTAAGAGAGTAGTGAAATGTATTAAATTATTCCAAATTGCTTTCTATCATGCCTCTGATTACGAATATCTGCAACTCTTAAACCATGAATATTAATTTGCCACATAGTTAAAAAAAAAGAATATGATCTACGAAACATTTCACTTCACTGCCAATAATACACTAATTATGACTAACCTTCTAATAATTGTATTACTTCTGTATAATGTTAGTTCAGATCAAATCGTGGCGTCACTACGCACGAATTTTTTGCGATTATAAATCAGCCTGATAAAGTTCGTTTCTGGAAGCTAAATACGATATAGACTGTATCAGTGCAGTGAGATGGCTTTTTAGAAGCGGAAGAAACCCGATCGAATGGATGATAAATTTCACTGGGAGATAGATATAAGCTTCCGAATTAAGAAAAATTGATTAGTGTATGGAAATGGATTTATTACATTTGTTTGTTTCGATTATGTTTACTTGAGATGAGATATTTTGGGAAATATCAGATCAAATTCCAAGCATTTCGTAGCTGTAGGAGTGATCCACCTGAGTTCATTTAATGCTATTTAACGAGGTTTAATCATATAAAAACTACAACAATGAATCTTATGTGTATAAACGAAGTGCATATGAAAACTGAAATTCACTGTTGACAAAAGGGCATTGAAGCCCTGCTCCAGCAAATCATTCCAATGACGCAAAATTTATGTTTTCAAGAAGCTGTTAATATTGATAGGCATCACGACACGATAAATTTACATCTGTATTGTTCATTTATCATTTTTTATCGCTTTTTAGATTCTTTCGTCCAATCAAACGGCTCCCATAAACGTTTTAGTTCGGCGGTATTTGCTCGTTGTTCTTCCATAGTTAGACTTTCATTCATTCTCCACTGTCTCCTCTCTAAATCCATCATACCACCGATTATTTCCTGCAGTGAAAAAGTCATATTTCTGGAAGTTACGGGCTACTCTCAATGTCTAATTAAAAGAGGGAAAAAGTCACAAAGAGAAGAAATTTTAAAAAATATATATACTGTTAATAAAATTTATTTTCACTATCAGTTTTTCGTAAAATATATGCCTAATTTTTGGGTCGCTGAGCGACATCTTCCTACTATATATTTATGTCTCTTTCAACATGAATTTAGCCGCATTTAGTTTACTAATTTTCAGGAATGAAATTTTTAATCTTCTAGAATGTATTCATCTAGATATGAGTTTCGTCTTCCTCCTTCATTTTTGCATCTCATCAAGTTAAACATTCAAAATCGCACATGAGCAAAATTCTGCGGAAATCGATCTTCATTTTCAATAACATGCGCATAACCCGGATGCAAACCAAAATCGACAGCAAAATATGAGAATCCTTTCGGAATAACTTTTCGAACGTCTCCACCTCGTTTACTGAGATCCACCAATTTTTTGTTATCGACCCATTCACCCTCACTATCATCGATCGCTTTCTGAATTGATTTTAAAATTCAACAAAGAAACGGATCTCTGAAAAATGCGACTATGTATATCTTATCTACGTATGTCATCATCTTCAACGATTGTTCTAAATGTCCATAAATTTTAATTTACTCTTCCGAATTAGAATTAGAAAGAAAGGATCGAATAGGGAAACTATACTTAGAAAAGAGATTACAATTTGATTGCAATAAATCAAATATTTAGAATTATTAGCGAAATAGTTAAAGCAAAATTGAATCCCATAGCAATGAATGTCTCTACCATCATCTGAATTTTACCACTTATGTGTTGTTGATTTTTTAAATGAGCCAAATGATATCAAACTGTCAAATAGAAGATTGATGAAAAAACATTAGCATTCAAAATTTTAATTAACAAGAAAAACCTTGAAATATATATGTGCCATTTCACCAATTTCATTTGGTACCGCAATACATTCGATATACATATGCTTGCGATGTTTTACATTTTTGGCTGTTTCTACGAATAAGCAATCCATTTCTTCTTTTTCCCACATTGAAACTAAAGCCTATAAAACAATTTACCATTTTTTATGGGTGAAAGAAAAAAATGATAATGAAATGCTTCACACCGCTATGGATAATAAATAATCTATTAGCCTTCAGTGCTTGACCATAAGATTTAAATAAACAGTTTGACAATTATAATTATAAGCTTTTTTCTGATAACGAATATTAACATTATATTTGGCATGAAATCGAGTTACCACGAGACAACCAGTAACTCGGTTAAATTACTGCAATTATCACCATTTACATCATTTAATTAGCGCCATCTAAATATTTAAACTATTATAATATCACCATTTTTTCTTGTTATCAACATTTTAATCTTCTTCAAAATAGTTTTCAAGGAAATTTTATAACATCTGATCCTTGCACGATTCATATATAAGACATAAGCACACATTTATTTGTGAAAAATTTGTTGTAAACCTCAATGTATATGTTTGGCACGCAAAAGCAAAAATATAATCGTGCAAAGATTGGCTTATTAATATTCTTTTGGAATCTTAGAATTAGGGTAGTAAAATGTTCCCAATTTCTTCGTGTACTCTATCATAATGACATTAATAAATTACCTTTGCATTGTATATCATAAATGATGATCGTTTTAGTGTTAAACTGTAGCTTTGATATTACTATTGCAATCGTCAATTTTTTATATCTCTCTAGGGGGCCTATTTAACCTAAATGCAAATAATGCACAATGCACGCAAATATGAAATTAAAGAATAGAAAAAGAAAATATAAAATGGGACATACTCTTTTAAATTTCCTTATTTCGTCATAAACATCTTCATCAAGTGTCACAGTTGAAGAATAATGAGCAATGGGAACAATCAAACAGTGCTCTTTTATTAGAGGTCGCCATGGAACAGATGAAAGATAGCTCTAAACCGTATTACTATCAATTTTTATTTTCTATTAACTAACTAAAATTCGCTTAAACATTGAATGATTCAGGAAAAAAATAAAAAACGGTAGGATTAATTGAAATTTCGGTAAAAATTTATGACACCTGAATTATTTTTTATTGAGTTTTTAGTTTTGAAACGATGTTATAAATTACAGTTTCAGCACATTCAAATTACTCATTAATATGATTAATTTCGCTGTGATGAACGCTAATTTTGGGTTAGGATAGCCATTTTTAAATGTTACGAAATAAAGTATAAAGCAAAAAGGGGAACATACGCTATTTCCACAAGCCACCATACAACATTTTCGGAAGCATGCCGCCTCGACACAAAATCGACAGGAATCAAGCGTTTGTTCATAAATTCTATTCTCTGAAATTAATATGATCAATCCAGAGATATAGCAATAGACGACATAATTTGCTGTTTATGCAAAAGTAGAAATTCAATAAAAGTTTGCTGAAAACTTTTTTATGAATGAAATTCGGACTCTTTGCAAAAAAAGTTCATAATAGAGAAATGCAGAGTTGCACTGAAAAAATTGTGCTTATAATTTGAAATTGAAAGTGTATTTATTTACGATAATAGCCTTCGGCTATCTTAAGAATTTTTAAATTCTACAATTAACATTCTTTGAGTTTCAAATTATTCCTCATATCCAACAATACTTCAACCTTGAGTTTCAAATCACTCCTCATATCCAACAATAGTAATGCCTCATTAAAAACTATTCATTAACAAAAAACTGTTAACTCTTTTAAAACTGATCCAAAACTATCCGATAAACATAACTTCAAACAAACTTTCATTCAAGACTTTACATACTTGATGATGCATCAAATGATTGTTGTGATTATTTTTACTACCTGAGGAAGCAATTTAACAGTATATGAAAAAGTTTACTCTCAAACTTGTTCCTAATTTAGGAATCAAAAAACATCTTGCCGAAGAGTAAAATTGATTGAATAATAATAATAATAATGTTGAAAATGAGAGAATATTTCCGAAAAGGTAAATTAATTATTCTTTAAGATTTTTGTAATCACTTCAAAATTGGATTATCATAATATTTATTGAGGATTTTTATTATTTCATAACTAAAAAAAAATGCTCATAGTACAAATTCTCTGAATAAACTTAACATTTCATGATCGGTGATGCAAAAAGAGAAAAAAGAGAAAAAAAGGAATGCGAAAAATGTGAAGGACATTTTATTTATCGGGTACGACGTGATGATGAAAAGTATGATTGAAACAGTAAGGAATTTCAAAAAAAAATTTCAACTAATTTTCTTTTTCTCCTTTTTAAATGAAATAGATAAGCATTGATAAAAAATTTTTCAACTTAGATAGATATCTGATCGAATTTATTTATTGTCAAAGATATCTTATCTAATTTATTGTCAACAAAATAATATCATTATAAATATTTTACATTATAAAGAATAATTCTTCTAATCGAACATAACGAATCTAACCTACAGCTTCGAACTAACTAATCTGATATCTCTAAAATTCTATTTTCAACATTAATAACCGATATGCCATAGAAATGATAACGGCAAGTATGAAAGTGACATACTCATTTTAGATATATTTTAAGGTATTTCATAGATAATAGAAATCGGAATAGATTACAATAAAGACCTGTGTAATTAACAGCTGTAAAGAAGAAGAAAAAAAATAAGATAATCTCATCTTTTTTTCTTTACTCTCTCTCTCTCTCTCAGGAATGCTAGAATACCTTGATGGGAAAAACTAAAAGAGTAAGGTAAAAATTTCAAATGATATTATTACCTGTCATTATTTTGTTACATCACTATTCGTTCGCTTTTTCTTTTTCATTTTTCAAATAAAACCTAACTGAAAATGTTTTCAATAATTTATTATACCATTTGTCAAATGTGACTGAAAATTTAATGAATTTTGTAGGAAATTTAATAAGAAACTTGATGATGATGAAAATCAGTGAAAATTTTTTGATTAAAAAAAAAATCCACGAAAGAAATTGTGAATTACTCTCCTTCTATCATTTAATTTCTTCGATATACCAATTCTCTCATCCCCTTCCCCCCCCCCCCTCCCCTCTTTGCAAAATGACAAATAATTTAACATTCACATCGATTAAATTTATTATTTCTAACTCTGCTCCTGATCATCGATGCAATCAACAATTTCAAACTGTATGATGACGATTTGTACTATTGCAAGTAAATACAGTAAAATTCTTTAACAGATTTTTTTCACATAGTATCAGGTAGAAAGAACACTAAATGCTCTTCATATTATCGCTATTATCATTTTAGTTATAATTCTCTCTTCCAAACTCTTTCTATCGTTTCTTCTAATCAATGATGATGCCATCATTGCTTTGCATTCATTACTATTGAGATAAAAAAAGAACCGGAAAAATAACAATATTTATCTTTTTCTTAATTCTACTAAAATACGATGATAGTAGTAGGACAAAAGAAATTGCAACTTACACTAAATGAACATTGAAGTGATTTATAGTATTCAAGAAAATAATAATGATAATGATAAGTGATAAATGATTAGTGAGATGAAATACCTTCGTCTTTTCTTATTTTAATAATGAATTATTTAATGATTTATGTTTTCTACTATTTCTTTTTTTTAATTACCAATACAGAAGAATATTAGATAGATTTCTATGAGATCAATTTAATTAGCGCCAGGTTTGTCTCATTTGTAGCTTTCTAATTAATTATGATTGTTTTGGTTGTTATTTATTAATGATGCAATAATTATCTCAAAAATTCATACAATTATAATTAAATATTAGAAAAACAAGTAATTTCTTTTCTTTTTTTTTGGGATGAAATAAATTAGTTCTTTGGTGTACGAAAATTTCTTTCTTCAATTCTTTTTAAAACATATTGAAAGCAGAGCAGAGCAGAGAGAGTAGAGTAGAGGAAAAGGAAAGCAAAATAACTGCCATATACTCACTCTGACACATACATAAATTACGTAAACTTATCGACAATTTTTAAATGGATGAAAATTAAAGAGGAGGAGAAAGAAGGTTAAAAAAATTGGAGAAGAAAAGAGAATAGTTGAAAATAGTTCATGATGAGAGATTTTTATGAAAAGAGGAATTAAATGAGGAAAAGAAAGGAAAACGATCACGGTCAAACATTATCAACATTGTTATCTTCGTCACCGTCAAAAACTGACATCATCAATAGCAAAGAGCGAAAATAACGTTAGTTAAGGAGTGGAATTTATGGCAAAAGCGGTCTATCTCAACAGTTTTCGAAGACAAAAATCTTAAGCAAAGAAAAGTATGTTACGACGATATTGTACAGCAGCTATTGATGGACAACAAAAATGGTCTCATCAAAATTTGATCCTATTACTAATTGCTAATATTCCGACATTTACTTCGGCTACCACCGAATGGTTTGGTGATTCAAGAGCATATATGAATCCTGCTCTATCACCACCATTTTATGATGTTATTTACGATATTTCTGGTTAGTCATCTATCTCTTTAGGTAATTTAGGTAATCAATGACTATTATAATATGAGATAATTTTAGAGAATTAATTTAGATTATTTTATCTGCAAACCAAAATAGCGCATGAATTCTTGTCTAATAAAAATGTGACATTGAAATTCTTTAAAACCATCCGAAATACCATATTAATTGCTTTCTTTATTCAATGCTCATTCCTAATATAGTATTTCACATATTTTTTTATTACAAAATTATAGTTTCATTGGAATGTAACTTTCAATATAACACATTAAGATATAACTATATAGCTACATTTTTAATTTGCATATTTAAAATTCAATTATGCTAAAATACTCAAGTTTTTAGAATGTCCAGATGGACTCGAAAGTGAAGCAATACCAGAATATGCTTATTTCGGACCAATGATTGAATCAATGAATGTTATGAAACATGTTGAATGCTTAGATAAATGTATCAAACATTCGAAATGTGTTGCGGTCAATTTCTTCGCATCTATGACATTTCAGGTAAGCTATATAAATTGATTATTATTCCAATTTTTTCTTGGAGAAAATAAAGCAATAGAAATATGAGAAAAAAAGATGACGATCGACATGACTTGTCATCATAAATAAATTTTTGTAAAACTTCCTTGTTTTTTCTTCTCTTCCTCCATTTTACCGTAATCGTTTTATATTTTGTACAATTCTCATATTTACGAGAAGATAATATTTCTTCGCAACCGTATTTCAAGTTAGTTTAAAATATTTCTTTCCATTCGATAGATGAAAAAAGAGGCAAAAATTCACTCACACCTAACTTAATTGAATGATTTAAATATCTTTAACTTCAAAGAGAAAAATTTACCAATTTAAAAAATAAACAAAATAGAGAAAAAAATTCAGACATGAAATATAAGTATGAATGGTATATATATTGCGTAGGTGTGCATAAATTTTCGAATATTTTGCATCGCTGACAAAAATTTTGATCAAAATCGTGAAGTATTTATGTTGTAATTTAAAAGGTTCTTTAATAGGTTCAAACGATTGAAATTCTATATATTCTTACTGTCCTTTTTCATGCCTATTTTACTTATGATAGGTTAAATACAATTTAGTTTTATAAATTAAATTTAATTAACCACATAGTTACTACATTACCATTGCACTCAGTTTTAATCGATATGGTACTTCCATCGTTACTAAAGATGAATATTATCGATAAAGCTTTATTCCTTTTCACTTGCCTACATAGATCAGATTATCATCTCTCTATCAATAAAAGTTGTAGCTAATAATATGAAAAATCTTCGGAATCTTTTTAGGGGAATGGTTTTTGTGAATTGTTAAGTGAATCTCAATTGGACAATCCCAAACTTATGAGACCATTCAAACAAGCTGCTTATTTTGAAAATATTCAATGTCGAACAGAGAACGATATTGTTAATGAAAATCCTGGCAAGTTATTTCTTGGAATTAAAGTTATTTCTTGGAAATCCGTTCAATGAAGGACTAATATGTCCTAAACTTAAAAAGAACTGGTAGATTACAAGTATAGGATTTTCTTTCTGATAAACTAGTAATTAAGAGCACTAATCAATCCCATTTCATTCAATATGTTCCGCTGATATCGCTCATAATTCGTAATAAGATATTTAAATTTTCAAATTAGGCAATAACATTTCGTGTAAATGTTAAAATGAAAAAAGCGAAAAAAAGAGAGAAAGAAGCTTAATATCTTTTAATTATAGTATTTGAGTGGGATTGAAAAGATTTGATTTTAAAATAAATTTAAGAGTCATAACAATAATAGCTCATGAAAAATAGCCTGAATCCTTATGGTAGTCAATGATTCGCTATAAAGAATCTTTGACTGTTATGCAATTCAATCTTTACCAAAACGCCATTAATTAACTTAAAATATCAATTTATAGTTGCGCAAAAGATATAGCTCTCAATCAAAAAATTGTTCAGATACAAAAATAAGAATCGCTGACTTCACGTTTTTCTGGATTTAAGGAGAATTAAGTCATATTAGACAGCTTAAGTCATATTAGATGCTCATATTACATCAGACCAGTGACGAAGAAGTATAAAATTTCGTAAATAACTTATGCCATTGGATTTAATTTTACTAATCAAGACTGCATGAGAATCCTCTTATGAGTATCCTTATAAGTTGCTGAAGATATAAAGAAGAAAATTTTTTAGTATACTGAAATATTTGCTGCAATTTAGTGAAAGTCAGAACTTAGCACAAATTATTAATCGACTAATATAGCTTATGATCGAATATATTTTAAGTTCAACAAAATGATAGATATAAAAAATATATCTTACTGAACTGTAGACGAAAAACCGTTCGAAAGGTCAAGAGATAATGCGATAACAGTTCTAAAAAAACTGTCAAAACAAGTGGACCAACTCAATCTATTCCATCGACAACGACGCTAAAGGTTATAACCGAGGGTTACAATGACATTAAGGATGCAAAACTGAGAATTTTTGAATTTTCATTTCTCAATGAAAAGATATTTTTATATGTGTTGATATGTTCAATGAATTTTATGAAAATAATAGTCAAAGTTATCGCTCCTCTCGACTAAATGAATTTCGTCATTCTTGATATCTATAGTTTAAAAATATCGAGCGAAGGACAAGAAACACTCTTCTTGAAACTTATCCGGAAGATGCACTATTTTGTTATTAATAAAAACTAAGACATAATTTCTAATTTTAAATGTGCATAAATCATTTCCTACCAAATCTTGTATATTAGTCTAAAGTGCTTTGAACATTGCTGGTTATATTTAGTACAAAAGAACTTAGTTTTAAAACATCAATTGAAATACATGAAATTGGTACTTACGCAATAAAAATTATCAATAAAAATAATTTCTCATCCTTTCTCAGGCTTCCGCTCATGCGGTTTCTCTCTTCCTTTCCAAAGCCCTTGTTCCACTAATTTTTTTGTCATTGTTAACAGTTGTGATATATTTAAGTGCTATCAGCTATGAATTTTACACATTTGATTTTTGTTTATAGTTACAGCTTATTTGCTTGTTATCTTTATGTACAACATACTGATAATTATTTGTTAAAATTTTCCAGTTATTGAACACTGCAAAATTTATTACAAAAATAAAGCCATTTTTTATGGATGTTAATAGTGGTAAATGATTATTTTTATTTGTTCCGTTTAACAAACGATAAAATGAATCATCCAGTGCAGTTGAACGGTGTAAAGTAATAACGACAACGGCTATTGAATTCTTACCAGTAATATTAGCAAACCCCTATATTACAGAGAGATTCTTAATAATACTAATAAAGCAAAAACAAGCGCACCTTTTATTAGATTGTGTCGACTTTTCCTCTTTTCTTTCTCTTCCCTTATCCGTGATCTTTTCACGCTCATCATCGCATCATCAACGACCCAGTCATCGTCCGTTCGATGTTTCGCTGCAGCCTGCACATTTCAAAAAAGGAGCATTACTTATACATAATTTTTTCTGACATATCTATTTTTAGAAGTAATTCAGTAAACGATATCATTGTTGCCACTGACATTCGAGTATTCCAATATTTTAAAAATCAGTAAATCCAAATATCGTTAATTAAGTCAACCTTAACAGCGTTGAAAATATGATCAGAGGATGTTGTCTCTTTTTCGTCAGCTACCATATCGCGAATACTTCTGTCAGCATTATAAATTGCATCAACTCTTCCGCGGCTTTTTAAATCCTGAATGCACATTTACATATTACTATAACTGTCATGCGAGATACCAACACAATTTTCATTTTATCCGTGAAATTATTGACAAAAAAGATGCGAAGACGACGAATAAACTGAGTAAGTAATAACAAAGTAAATAAGTTATTATTTACTTGTACTCATTACATTATAAAGGACCACGAGAACTGTTTGAATCTAACTCATACTACAGTTGTTGAATCTCTCGGAAGCTTTCGTTTATATTATAAGCTTAAAGCTACTAAAAACAAGCAAAATAAAAAGTTTCTGCTGCAAACATATTTTTCAGATACGAAAACTATTTTTCACTTCTGTTTTGTGAAAAGTACAAATTAATTAATTCGTAGAACAACTTTCATCTATTTTACTAACCTATCCATAAATAAAAAAATAGAGTGCAACCTTTTTTTCCTGCTTCATAGTAGCAGGCATTCGCACATCACCTTCATCAATTCTAAGCAATATTTTGCAAGTCGAAGATGGACCCTGTTCATCTTCTCTTAGAACATGCAATTCTTTCTCCAATTTTTCCACCAAAGCCTGCAATTTTTTTAGCATCCGTTGGAATCATTAATCACTTTGCCACTTTCCAGAAATTAGAACCACAGTTAGCTAAAATCGCCTGGATTTAAATATAGTGTAATTTTAAAACGACATAAATAATGAAAAAGTACCATCTTTCCCTGCAGTTTCGCTTTTAATATTTTTGCACCAAGTTTGTTGCGCAGCTCTAGTTTAGTTTTTTCATCCATTATTTCGCTTGTATTTGGATCGTTCTTCATAATTACATTACTTTCTAAAGTATTAATGAAATCAGATGAAAGAGCAGACATTCAATATAAAACTTCTGGTGTCAAAAAAGAAAGCTTAAAAAAGAAATTCAAATTCCACAGAACTCTATTTCGAGCTCTAGATAAAGCAAACAGCAACAAATTAATCCTATCAAAATTTCAGAGTTACTGGAAAAAATAAAATTTTAAAGAAGAAAAAGGCTAAAACTAATATTTAACTTTAAATTAATAATTAAGAAGGATTTCAATAAACCTCTCAGTTCTTGTTGCGATTTCACACTTCCAGTAACAAAATCTTTGCCAGCAGCATAATCGCCTAATTTTCGAGCAAACTTTGGATCAATTGGTTTAGCTCTAACTAGACGAGGCCCATCATCTTCATCATCGCTATAATCAACGGGTTTCAAAAAGCGCGACATCTGTAATATACACAAACCTGTAGTCAGTCTTCTAATTACGAATCAAATGATCAGCGTATTGAACGAAAAAATCAGAAGCAAATATCAAAAGCAGCACCAAAATTATTCGAGATAAAGTATGGATGGTAAAATTTCATCTGTAAACTAAATATACCGTATTAAAAACATAACGAATAGTTGATGTGACATGCTTTTTATGAATTCCAATAAATATTTATTTCACAAGGCAGAGAAAAAGATTACGGAGAAAAATCATACGTATCCTTTAGAGACCAAAAGGCTGTCTTTGTCAATTAAATTTACATATTGTAATTACGCTTCGCATTTAATGCTAATTGCCCTATGAAATAAGAAAGAAAGCAGAACTAAAATGAAAACAATTTCAATTTGCTCGTTGATTTGGACGATTTCTAAAACATAATATGAAAAACAGAAACTGAAAAGAAATAAAGTAAAAGATAAAAAAATTAGGCACCCTATTATTTTCCATTTATTTATTACCACATTTTACGCAGTATCTTAAATAAAACATAGCAAGAGTGAATTTCTTTTCTGCTTTAGTTATAACAATATAAACCATAGAACTATTAAACCATTTGATCAACATATCATAAATAATTCAATTATTTCCTTGGATAGTTTTTTTTTTTACTCTATTCATATTTGAATTCAAAAGGAAAAACTTGCCAAACTAAGGATATTTCTTGAATTATGAGCACAACCACTCAATGCACAATATTTTTTGAGCCAATATTCGTTAACTGAAAATAAACATATTGCGCATTAAGTAGTTATGCGCCCACAATATCACCATTATCTGAAATATGACAAGAAAAAATTTGCTATTATCGATAGTCTTCCCACAGAATCACTGTTGATTATAAGCAATTCGCATCAAACTATTTTAAATCCAAATGCTAGCAAATTAATCAATTTAAACTAATCAAAAGTGCTGACTTCGACATTTTTGCGACTGTACACTAGATTTCGTATTGTTGTAGCTTTACTAATTAAAACTTTTTAAGATAAAGCTAACAAATTAATTACACAACCAAATTTCATCCATTTAAAATTCTAAACGTAGGTTTATCGTAAGTTATTAAGTCATCTGCTTATTTTTCAACAATTCTAAAAAAATGTAGTAAGTATAATAATCGAAGCGTATGATTACCCGCAGCAATAAGATACAACGCATAATGTTTTACTATGTTAAGTTTAAACAATTTATTAAATTCGCTTGCAATTTTCGGCGCAAAACGCAAAAACATATGGAAAGCTTGCATTGCAGTGGAGACAATGCGCGCAGCAAATTGGAAAGTATAAGTCAGAGAAAAGCACAATTGGAAAAAGAATCAAAAAATACGCCAAGTATAATTTAAAAAAGGTGTTTGCCGCACATTGCTCTTCTAATGTAGCCCGAGAAAAACTGACAAAAATGCATCAAAGCAGCATGCACCCGTTGGTAAGTGATCTTTACATACACTATGAACACACTCTTAAAGGAGTGAAAATTTACTACTTTACACATGTAACCGAGACGCAAAAGACACGACGATATGATGATACTCGTTGCATCATCTTATTAAAATAAGATTAAAATACTTTCTATTTTTTGCCGGATTCAAAACTAAACAGCTCCGGAAATGTGGACCTATTTCCCTCAATTCACTTCTTTGCCCAAAAATTTGAGGATCTGTTATTTCGAAACATGAATTTGATTCAAAATAAAATGAGAAATGTATGGCAGCTCTTCTTTGCCCATCCAAAATATTGCCCAGAACTCCGCGAAATAGCACCGGTAATATCTATCCTATACCGTATACATATTTTACAAATACAAATATATTTCCTAATGCAAAGAACACCTAATGTTCTCCTTTTTGATCCCAACCGCTTGTTAAATAATGAGTAACTATTTCAAACGCGTCTACAAAAAAAAGAATCACATGAGGATTAACCTGAATTTGGGAGACAGTAAGCAAAATTATCAATAGCGAGAGCGAATTGGAAATCAATGAGTCCACTGTGTATCGGTCCAACCTGTTGATGACGTAGCCTGGTAGTAAGCTGAGGGAGCAGGGATCACATTAACTGACTCTTGCTGCGTTGTAATAGCGCTGCGCTGGCGAAATAATGCGTAAAGGTCACCATAACGCTCACGTTCACGTGTAAGCTCACGTTTAAGTCCCTCAACTTCTTTACTTAATTCTGCATTTCTACGTTCCAAATCACGCACATAATCGTCATCCAAATCGTAACGAACACGCTTACTATATGCATTATGGACATCAGCAGCAGTATATGGATGGGAACGACGGCTGGGATAGACGGAGTAGGATAACGCTAGAGTTGATCCTCGCGCTAAGGATGGCAACATGGAAGCTGGCACGCTGCGTGGTATCCGGCGGCGTCGCTCACGCTCTTCCTCAACGTTAATATGCCAGTAGCGACACCGCTGTCCACCGCGTGAGCATGAGCCTGTTTGATATTCTTTGCAAAATGGTATCCCATTGATAGTATCGCAATTATAAACTGCAGCAACTTCACGTGCTAAATTAAGCGTCACCTCCCCTGTCATTTTGTAACGGTCAACATCCTCCCGATGCGCATGGATATAGCGGCAGTTATCGCGATGGCAGCCACGATTCTGAAATTTCACATCGCTGCATTAACTTTTATATGTGCTTCCTCTGCCTACTCTATGAGCCGAATTTCGTCTCGAAAATGAACTGTCCTACAAAATACGACATTTTCTTAGCATCCGCGCTAACTACATAACGACGCAGTGACAGTTATTTTTCCAAAATTAATAATGAAATATGACAGCTCCGAATAAAAATAGCTGAAAATTTCACCTAATATTTTGTCTTAAGGACCAATAAATTTACCAATAAACAAATTGGCTTCGCGATCATTTCCACACCACATAAAGGTTACCTGATAATCAATGCAAAACCGATACTCGATGCCTTCTGGTGTTTGTTGTGATGCTCGTTTTCGAACAATGCTCGGAGGATGATAAAATTTACATCTTGAACCGCGATTGCACATATTATTTAGGAAATCTCTGAAATGAAGAAGTTGAAGAAATTATAATCATTACTAAATTTAAAAGCGAAGATATATATATAGATACAGATATCTTACATCCTCACCCATACTCATTACTGTTTATTCGAATTATTTCTCAGTTAGCATTTTTTTTCTTCGTGGACGTAGCTCAAACTTCCGGCTAGTTAACGCTAGCTGAATCATCTTCAATCAGCAAAAATTGTTACTAATGAAAAATTACAAGCTAACCTGCAAACATCCTCTCGAGCAAGCTCTTTTTCTTCTTTATCTTCCTCATTTCTTTCGATTAACTCCTCCTTCCCCAATTCAATATCACCATTCTCAATTATTCCTAGTTTCTTTGGGATTTCTTCCATATTATTATGTTTTCTTTCCATCTTCTCAGAATCGCCATCCAGGTATTCTTCATTTTTCATATCATTTATTTCTACGCCTTCTCCATGGGACATTTCTTGTTGTGATCACTATTCACAACTGGAAATGGCCTGAAGTGCTAATGGAACAATTTGATTTCCGATATAGATTATTCACTAATTCTTGAATAAAGTCTACGTAGTTCACGCAGAAAGCAACCTTCATATGTCCTCTCCCAAATTCCGATGTTCGACTGCATCTCAACATACGACCATGACACACCACTTAGATAACAATAAATAAATTGTTGACAACTTCATTCCTTGATTAACAACTGTTACATAACTTGACAAATCGATCTTCATTCATTTCAAAATAATACAGCGAGTGACTTGATGTACTTAATTGCACACAAATGAATATATTCAGAAAAACATACATTTATTTGCAGCAGAACCGATTTCTTTTCCAGATCAAAGTGAACACAGAGTGCAACAAAATAGACAAAATTAAGCTGAAGCAAGAGCGAAATCAATATAAATGTAATAAAAATAAGCAGCATTCACAAGTATCGCAGTCGATCCTACCTTTACCTTAGTACAGACTTTTTTCTATTCAAAACAGTCACGTTAATAGATAATCGTAGAATACGACAAATTAATTTCTAAGCATTGATAAAAAGATATTTCGAAAAACGTGCAGATTGGAATAGTTGAGATTGCAAAAGAGGCGAGTACAAGTAAACTTAAAATCAAACGAAAAGTTTCAGATAAAAATGAGAAGTTTAGACAGTATCACGCTGTGACAAGTGACTACTGGCGAGAAACATAATAACTTGATAAAGCGAATTGCTAGTAGGATAATACAATCTTTAGAAACTTACTGTGGCATCGTTCAAAAACGACCAGACCAAAAGGAGCAAGGCATCACAGAAGTTGATTATACAACGAAAAGAAAACTTCATTAGTAACAAAATAATTCAATTTCTTTATTTTGCTGATTATGACTTCTTTCTCATTTAACATTAAAGAATCATCAAAAGTCGAATCTACAAATCGATTCAACATAAATAATGGCCTTATGGAAAGAAGTTAATATTTCTGTAATTTGATGATTCCTTAATCAAATCAAACCACATTTCTGATTAAGTTTATAGAGACGAATCACAAAATTGAAGCATAACGATCAAAATATTGAGAAAGTTTTACAAACTTTAGCACAAAAATTCAAGGAATTACATACTATGTACGTTACGTTAGTTAAAATACTACGTTAATTGATATTTGAAATTGGACAAACAACTGCGAAGAAAGGCAAAGCGAAACATTTATATATCACATTGGTTTTTTTCAAATATTTCCGAATTATTTCTCTCCCATTATGGAAACAATGTGTGCGTGTTTTTTACAGCATTTTAGATAAACCATATCGTGCATATATACTCCTCAAGCTGCTAAAAATATCAATACAATTCATCTTTTAACTCACTGAAGAGAGTTAAGGTTGTGAATTTTATATCATGCAAATGTAAACAAAACAAACAATCCTTCACCCTTTTATCCACCTAATTAGAAAATTCAAAACACATTATTATGAAGACTGACTCAATTTATTAAGATTTTTTAAAATTACTCAGATTAATTAATCGCAACACATGCAATACCAAGACGATCTGCTTTAATCTGGTATTTATATTTAATTATCAAATAAATCATAAAACCGCTTTCACATACCATTATTGACCGAATTCACGATAACTGGTTGACCACCTCCTCGTATGGAACTTTGCATTGCTGAACTCAACACTGACATTGTTGTGCCAATTGGTGAATAATGTTGTCCAGGACGAATTGGTTTCGCTGAAACATTGTAATTACGAGATTTCAGTGAATCAATTTTATTGCAAAGAAATGTACTAAACAACGAAACGAATAAAAGACTAACCAATCTGAGGAGCAGCAAGACCTCGTCTGGCAAGATTTCTTTGACGCACTGCTTCTTTAATTCTTTCAACTTCATGCTGATACCTGAAATTATAAGTTCAATAACTTGTAAAAAAGTATTTTCGATTAGAAAGATTTCGCAGCAATAGCAACTAACTTCTTTCTGTCCCGCATAGCATTTTCCTTGGTTTCTTTCAACGCCGTTTCCAAGCTCTTTACACGATCCATAGCAGCACGTAATCGTTTTTCCATTTTTGGTAACTCACAGCGCAGATCAGCATTGTCTCGCACAAGCTTAAAATTTTCTTTTAATTTTGAGTTCACATGATTAAAGATCTAGAAAATGCAGAATCCATATTAGAATCACAATTCGTAATGATGAGAAAAGATCCATCTCCTTTTTTAATTAAGCGACGATTTTTTAACACCTGTTTGTGTACTTTCGTTAACTGATCCAAATTGTTTTCTAAGAATGCGATCTTCTGCTTTTGAGCCGGCGATGACATATATTCGTCTTCATTTAATTCCGTGCCTGTGGGTGCTCGCTTAATCCTCTGCCCGATATCCTGCACAAACATTTTACGAAGATTGTGCAGCGTTTGCAGTTCTTTCGCGACTGTTTCTTCAAGCCCTAGAATGATAAAAAGAAGTACACTCCTTAGTAGAAAGTACACTCTTTCAAAAAATTTATGAAAATATAAGTGGTCATTCTAAATAATTGAACAGCAAAAAAGAAAATTTGTCAGAACTTGAGAGGATTTCAAGTTCTAGCAAATTATCAAGACCAAAAAAATTATGCCTTTCAGGTCACTTTTCGCCTGTTCTCGTTTCTCGGACAAGCCAGATAGTTCTTTAATGCGCTTTTCTTGTTCCTGTTCATCCATTTTCAGTTTTTCGTAATCTGCTTGCAACTGATTCTTAGCAACTCGTAAATCTTGCAATGATGCCTGAAAAAACTCGTTTTCACACGTACTCCTGCAGTTATCACTTAAATTATTCGAACGTATAAATGAAGAAATGAAAACAAATGATATAAGAAATCAGAAATTAGAGAAATTTTTTAGAAATTAGAAATTTTCCTAAAGAAATCAGAAATTAGTGCAAAATTATACGTAAAAGTAAAATAGAAAGGTTACTGACGGTGAGTTCCTCGATTTTACGGCTTTTTTCAGCTACTTCGTCTCGCAACGCAGCAACTTGTTTGGTATGCTGTTCTTTTGCTTCATCGCTTATTTGGACAGCTTCACCGCCTGTGGCTGCTAATTTTTCATTCAACATGTCTACCTGCAATAACACAAAACGTGAAAGAAAAACAAAACAATAATTGGCATCAAAACGTCAGCTCAAACTTTTTTCCCATGCATTTTTTATGCAAACCGTAAAATTATCATTTACGAAATTATTTCATAAATTTCAAAAGACTGAAATGATTTCTGAAAAAAATCTAAAAAATTTACCTGCTCTTCAAGTTGACGTTTCACTTTTTCTTGTGCTGTGATTGTTTCCTGCAACGATTTATTTTTCGCTTCATTTTGTTGCAAAAGTAATCGACAATCAGCTAAATCCTTTTCGGTAGATTCCAGCCTCTGTGTTACATTGCCAGAACCCGATTCCAAGCTTGACATTTTCTGAAACAAAGCATTATTCATAAGAGCCTTGCTGAGAAAATTTGCCCTAAAAATGAGGAAAAAAAGAATAAGTAAGAAGAGATACCTGAAGCGTTGACTTGAAATCAGCGCTTAATTTTGATATGCAGATTCGTGCATGGGCAAACAGTTCTTCATCATATGGCTTGTCAGTTCCATTTTCTGCATTAAACTGAAATGGCAGTGTGAAACTTATAATATTAATTGCAGTGAAGTTTTGTTAATTACATTCAAAAAGTTTAAGGTTCAACAAATGTAATTCTCGAACCTTAGCTGTATTGGCATAATTGCTACCAACTTCTGACAAATCTCTTAACATTGATTGCATCGCATCGGTGATACGCTTTTTTTGCGCTCCACAACTTTCACGCAATGTTTCCAATTCTGTGGTCAATTCCACGACTTTTACATTTTTCTTTGATAGCTCATCCTGAAATCTCTTCACAATGTCAAACACTAATGCAACATGAGATGAAATAATCGCCTATATGAAGGAATACTTACATTAAGCTGCTCATTTTCTCGAGCTTTCTGCTCCGCTTCTTGTGTTTTTATATCGTAATTCATGGCAAGTTCTTCCAATGCAGTCAATACTTCTTTCGATTCTTCTTTTGAAGCTTCATTTTCACTCTGGATACGACTCACTTCCGCCTGAGCATTCTCATAATCGAGCTTGATCTGCCTGATCAATTCTTCCTGTAAAAAAGATGACTCAGAATTCAAAATGATCATGCCTAATTTCCACTGTACGAAGTCTGCATAAATCTTGTTGTACCACTATCTCCTAAAACTAACCTGCTCATTCATTTGCTGTTTGAGACGCTCAGCCAATTGGGAGTGCAGCGTAATTTCGTCATCTTTTTCATCCAGCTGCAAACAAATGTACAACAGAGAATGTAAATCTAATAAGTTTCCTACAATTCAAAAAATTTTTAAAAAGCAGTTTAGAAAACGTGAATAAGAACTGAGAGAATGATTGCACTGAAATGAAGTGCATATGCGCAGAAATGTGGGTGCCTAACAAAAATTTTACTTCCCATCTTTCAACGCTACAGAGAACAAAACAAGCAAAGGATTTTACGAACTACTATAAAAGAATCATCCAAGCTTCACTTCTAAAGAAAAGCAAAAATTCCTACCTGCTGATAGAGAGCAGATCGTTCTTCTTCATACTTCTTTCGATCGGCATCAGTAATTGCACCAATTGCTGACGTCAGTAATGGTACTGGAGCAACGGAAATCGATCTGTCAAGTGAACCGAGCACTGAATCACTGACAGACGGTGATAGAGCTGAAACTCAGTTTTATCATTTTGAAAACGTAAACAAAGAACTCTAAATAATTTAATAAGGCCCAAAGAAGACTGTCGTGTTCCAGAAGACAGTGACAAGTCGCAGATTTCAGAATGTTACTAACTATTCTTTTGGCTTAATTTTTTCGAATGACAGCTGAAAATATATTATCAGCATCAACCGATAACCTACATTCTGTTCCAGCTGAGAGTTGTAGATTTACAGCAGCACCCTCAAGCAGGCTAACCCACTCTGCCTCAGGTACCTTTTCACCTTTTCTCCATCGATTTAGTTCTGCTTCTGCCGCCATCAGCTGTTGCTTCAGTCTAGCCACCTATAAGCAAAAATGACTTAAATAAAAATTAAATAATATAAAACTTGCGAAATATCCTGAATTGGTATTAGCAGGTAACAAAGCAGCCGTAACAAGATTCTGGAAGCAGATCTTTAACAGCAACAAATTTCAAACGATACTAATCATGATTTAGTGCTGATTTATTGCTATCTGAATTACTCCACGATCAATTAAATCGAGATAAATTACAATTCACATAAATTTCCAAAAACATAACAGTAAAATAATAACTGGAACGAGAAAAGAAAACTGTCCTGATTTTTTTGGATATATGTAACGTTTTCCAAGAAAAAATTATTATAAACAATAAGGTATTTCTTTTAAAGTCTTCTTTAAAAAAATTAACCTTCTCCTTCTCGCGCTCATAACGTCGCTTCCATTCTTCCGCTGTTAATTCCTCATTCACTATAACAACATTTTTGATTGTCTTAGCTCGCTGTCCGAACATCAACGTACTCTTCGTTTCCGCTTCATTAACGGAAGCTGGAGAACAACAAATTACAATTGTTGTCCTTGAGTTACCACCCAGTGATTCTTGCAAAATTCGAGTTAGCTTGCTGTCTCGATAAGGCACATGTCCTTTCTGGAATTGAAAAATTTCTAACTTCAGAAGCTTTGTCTTCAAATTTTAAGTCCAGAAGCCTTCGAAATTGAAATTGAAATTCAGAAAAGGAAAACTGAAATTCAGAAGTATTACTAAGGTGACCGTTTGAATAAATTGATTGCAAATTTTAAAAGGTTATATACCGTTCCTTCAGCTAATGCGGCTATCACATTTCCAAGTGCCGACAAAGATTTGTTAATATTTTTCGCTTCTTCCAACACCGTGCCCTCAGCACCTGTCTTACTGACCTAAACATAAGCCGATAAGCATCAAACAAATTCAAAATGAAATACCGTTCAAGAAAAGGTAAAGCTAGAGATCTTACTTTTTCACTCCCAGCGAGGTCAACAAGATACAGCTTTCCAGTTAATTTCTTTTGAGTCGCCGTATTCTCTTGCTTTACTTGTATCAGAAACACACTATGACTCCTTGAACTATGTTCATTCATATCTATAAAAATAGATTCCACTCAAGCGGCTATGTGTGTATGCTATTTTTTTTTGGGAATCACTCAAACTTCACAAATCTTTCTTACTAAAGCTGAAGCAATATGATGGTAGTCAAAGATCGATGCGCACATTCTGAGCAAGCCTTATTTATGACTAATCTTTGGTAATATGATCAAATTCTTTGTGATGGAAAGTGGAGAGCTCAGTATTTTGCATAAAAGAAAATTTTATAAACTTTTCGAACAATAAACATCAGAGTGTCACAATACTGAGTCAAGATCAAAAAAAAAAAACTCACTTGTGACAGCAACATGTCTATTATTTTTTCCTTCATCAATGCAAGACATAACTTCCTCCGGACTAGAAACGAATCGTTCTGTGGCTCCCTTTACATATGGTACCCGATTTTTATCTTCATGAATTGCAAGATTCATCTTTGTTACTAAAATCTCTTTCTTAAAAACAAATTGTAATTCTTGAAAAAATGCAGTTCTTCAAAAATCGAAAAAATAGCGAACTAACTTAAGTTTATGTTCTTACTTGATATAAATTTGAATATTAATATAATTGCAGTAGATCGATGTAACACATAAGAAAAATTTATAAAGCAACAGATCCTGGCATACCGTCCAACAAATCACGAATCTTTTCGTTGTAAATCTCAAAATATGAAACTTTAATATGAAATTCGAGATCAACGTCCATATTATAAATGTGATTGAATATATCTTGCACAATACGCGGTATTATACCCTGCTTGTCCGAATCACCGAAGACACCCTTTAACAAACAAGTGACATATTAAAATTTTCATATACTTTGAATATATGAATACCACACAACCATTTGATACCATACAACTGAATGAATACGGCTTCAGATAGTTAATCTCATTTCATACATCAGTTTAGTTTTTGTACATTCCTTTAAACTTGCATATGTGGCCTACGGATCAAGAAAAATAAGTATCGAAAAACTTATCACTAGATGCTCTTGAAGAATGAAAAAACAGCTTGAAATCATCTGTTTAAACGAATAAGCAATTACCTCCATCGTATGTGTCTTTCCAGATGATGTCTGCCCATAAGCAAAAACAGTGCCATTGTAACCAGAGAGGACATCCTGTACAATATGATAAGCTGCACCCATGTAAACCTCCTCTTGCGTGGATGTAGGTTTGAATACTTTGTCAAATACATAAACTTTACCCTGGAAATGGAAAATCTTTTGAATTTTCTGGACACTATGATTACAACAACCTAAAAAATTTCTCTGCGTAAATTCCGAACTTGCAAGTCAAACTACAAAAGTAACGGTACAACTAAATGAAAAAAATGCGCTTTTCGTACTCCAACTAGTAGCGTGATGACAGACAGACTGAATTGCGAATAACTTGATTGAAACTACATCGATGTAAATTGGAGAAATAATAATCACAGATGCATTTTCAACAATACATCAAACGATGAAAGACCGTACCGCAACCGATATCGCTTCTTGTGAATCGGATGAAAATTTCGGCACAAATTTCGAATCACCTTTTTCTTCCATACTATTCAAAGGACGGACACGGCAAAACACCTGCAAAAAGATTCTAAATATTGTACCACTGTAGGTTACTGTACTGTTGAACGAAACTTTCAAAATTCTGACCTGAATGCCGCATTCAGCAGGATTTGGCACCGGATTCGCCATGATTGAAACAGCTTCCCGAAAGGCTGTGGCCAAAACCTCAACAGTATAAAAATAAATTTCACCTCTGATAAAGACTATTACATTACGCACAGAAACATTACTAAACGAAACTATAAAAAGTGATTAAGCTGCACTAGAAAAAATCACTCAGGAGTAAGACAACATATTTTATGATGTTCTTCGAGAATGGTCAGTCGATTAAACTATGCACTCCTCCATTTTGTCTAATTTTCAAATTTCATTCTATCACTGAATGCATTATCTGAATTGAACGTAAACATAAAGATTAAAGTGCTTACTGTAACATCATAGAACCACTAATAGTAAGAAGAAAGCATTGTTATAAACGTACACACATGGATCTAAAGCAGGATAAGAGAGAAGAATCTTCCGACAAACGACGTAAGCATCACATTGAAAAATAATATCATAGTGCGACATTTATGGATTAATGTAAAGCGGAAAGCTTTGGAAAAGAAGAGATATTTGTTTCCAAATGGAGTTGCAGACATCCGTTCCGCTTGAAATAAAGTTTGTGGACAATTGCAATTTAATGAGTAGATGAGAAAGGATAAAGAAGACGGAGTGCAAAACAAAAGTGTTGAAGACATTTGTGAAAGTTAAGCTATCTGGTGACAATTTAAGATGAAATAGGAAATAGAGCGCAATGAGAGTTGGACAGTTAAGGTATCGGAAAAGCAGCAGAGTTTTTTTCCTTCTATTTCGACTTCTCCTAGCGGAACCAACTAGAAATGCAAATAACGAGAAGTCACACTGCGTGAACTGTCTGAGAGTATGCGATGATATGTGTGGAAATAAACTGTAAACGAAAAGAATGTCTGAAAAACCGGATAAAGCATCCTTTTCCGGACTGCTCTTTCTGACTTTCTCAGCATTTGCCACTCATAATAACATTGCAAGGGCAAAATAGATGCGAACCCAACCTCTCCTAGTTATGGATGTCTCTGCGTCTTACACATGTCCCATACATATAACTAAGAGTATGTGAAAAAATAATGAGCATGACAAGATGAAGAGTATAGCGAAAGATACCGTCTACATTGTATAAAACGTAAAGATAAAGAGGTGGTTGCGTGTATGTATGTTCTTAGGACGTATAATACGCAAGCGACTTACCCATACCTACCTATAGCTCATTTTGTAAAGGACATTATATGACAGACATGATGCATGCAATTGCAGCTGCAAGAATCGCTGCATGCACTTTAATGATATATTTAGCTGGAATTATCACAAATTATCACGATGATAAGGTACTATCATTCATTTATTCCTTAGGTGCCATTGAAGCTATAGCTTTCTTTCATCAGCCGTATGTCTTGATTATTTCTAAACTAACTTTTAAGATTTAAACTTAAGTTAGATTTAAATGAAATGGTACAATTCTGATAACGGTGACTGGCCATATAACGATGTTCAAATAGATGAAAATGCATAATTGATGAAATTGAAAAAGGAGACAAGGAAATAGTGTTCGATTCGGTTCAGCGATTCATTCTCCCTGCTGATTAGACAAATTTGGGGGGATCTCCTTCCCTTCTATTCTCTATTATTAAAATTCAATAGTAGCATCACAGCATCTCACAAAATGTTTCCCTTCTCCAACAGTGCAAAATAGCCAACCTCATTCCATCACTCTTGCCATTTTTCAACTATCCATTTCAAATTCCATGTCTTTAAATCAAAACTGGTCTGAAATGTCCGTAAAAGTTCTCGCTCTTTTTCTACTTGCTGTTTTTATATCATTGCTAATGTTCTCTTACGATGACAGATAAATTTCTCAATCCTTCTTGATGTAATTTGTTCTAGTTTTAAAACTATGGCATCCCAAGCGATATCATCCCTACTATCATATATCCCTCTTATAGTTCAATCTCTATCATATTTAAATTAGGATTTCCATTAAATGTGCAAAAATGTAATTCGCATTCATTTATGAAAAACGCCAAGCATTTCAGAAATTTAATTCCGACATAGTGTTATTTTTTTCTTCAATAAAATGTTGCAGATAGATATTTTTTCCTTAAGCAATTGTTTCACATGCAATAGCAACTTCTGAGAGCAATATGCTTCTATAGAATGAGGATAGGATAAGAGCAAATGTGAACAATCGAATTCATATTGCTATTTCTTTTGAAATGATCGAGCTGCTAGCTCTTTTAGTTAAATAGAGATTTTCATTATTTGCAATTACTGAGAAAAGTTCACATACCTGACATGACATAAAATTCTATTTTGTTATACATGCTGTTTGGAATGAAATTTGAGCAAAATTATATTAGAAAGACTGACAAGAAGTCAGAGAATAGTCTTGTCAAGAAACTAACGCCATATCGATCTGAGAAGAGAGGAAAGAAATGTCTTACACATGCAAAGATAATTATTAAGAAATATTTCCAAGATGGAAATAAACATGGTTCGACCCATTTTTAAATGAAAGCACTTGATATGCACCAGATATATGAAGCATTTATTTCACATCAATTCTGCTAACAATTGTTCAGTAGAAACAAAAATGTATATCACGAAATTTGTATACAAGTTTTTATGTACATCAGTCATCAAAAAATATTAATTCTCTACATAGAAACTGTTTTGCTCCATTTATAAATTACTGTCATAATTAAGCTCAACAGATGCCACTCCCATGTATGAGAATATATGTTATGAACTGTGAACAGAAGAATTATTGATGAATTGGTAAAGTCTCATCAGGAAATACAGAACAACATTTCGGCAAAATGTTTCAAAACAAGAAAGTATCCATAATTTTGTTCAAAATTCTCTATAGACTAGACTTTATCTGCTTCGAAGGAATTTTCAGTGCATTTCGGCTTATGGTCTCTTCATGAAAATACGAACCATGTGTGTAGGCATGCCGGGATGAGCAAGATAAACGATACAGTTATATTTACTCACACCCGGTAATAACAAATTTCTTTTGTGGCAAACTATCACATGTAGGAAGTAATCTGTCACTTCTCGGAACGTTCGAACGCAATAAGCACATTGCTAAAATTATTGATATAATCATCTCTTCAGTACTTTCTAATTATTATTTGACATATAATGTTCTACAGACATGTACTGCTCTATCTTCATATTATTATAATGTAATGAAATACTATTAAAAATCAACAAAATCAAAAAGATTTTATAAAGAAACTCAAAAAAATCAACGAGCTCTGATCCATTTAGAATATGCAAATGTGGCATACCTGTCTCGGCTCAAGCTTCACCGCCTCTGACCATTTCCCATCTATGAAATCTACTCTTTCAAGACTTGTAATGGATGTTTTGTGGACTCGAACAACTATAAGATAATCTTTCTTACAAATCTCTACATTCCAGGAAAGAATCAAACTCAAATCTACGTAATATTAACTGTCACTGTTCTTCAAATTTTAAACATGAAAAGGCGCCTACATTGAAAGTTAATCGATTCCTACGTTCTTTAGCACATTGAGTGCTTCCTTACCGTTGTAGATATAAAAAAGAGATCTTAACGAGGTGAAAGTTGAAGCGCAGTAAATATATTAAACATCCCTTGCTAAAGAGTATGCACAGTTGTTGACTGTTAATAAAAAATGAAAAATACCGTGCTCAACCATATCCGTCCCTTGACTACTTCGATAATCACAGTTCAAACATTTTGGGAGCATCGGAGAAGTTGCTGATCCGCCATGCCTTGTTGTTGTAGTTAAAGATGTAGATGATGATGATGAAGGGATGGTTATTCCTGCTGATGTTGTTGCCGTTGCCATGGGTACATCAGTTTTTGATAGTTCAATAACTTTCGCTGGATTCGTCATTTGACTTTCTATTAAATCAGTGTGAATGGATCCAGAAGTATCTACAGGAGGTCTTGTGATCGGAACATCCGTCGAACTGGTTTTTCTCGTAAGTTTCAGTTCTGGAACATACAAGATATATTTTTAAATATACAATTCACAAATAGTGCGCAAGAAAAAAAAGTGCACAGCTAATATATGAGACCATCTGTTAGTTCGGATGAGGTTTAGAATTTCTAGGTAAGTTTTTTTTTTAAATATTCACTTTCCCCCTTAAATATAAAACAACTCACCATCCAATTTTATTTTTGAAAATTCCTTATCCATTTGCGGGTGAACAGTTTGTGAATTAACAGTGGTAATAGGAGATGAATTATCCTGTGCTTTGTTAACTTTCGTAGTTTTTACATCGTTTTGGGAATTCTTCCTTTGTTTCAAGCAAGGCACTTTAGAAGGATTATCGGGAGAAAACGGAAGATCCGTTAATTTCCGTTTCGTTCCCGTTGTTTTTCGTGCATTTCGCTGGGAGCAATCAGAAGATGCTTTGCGAAATGCTGTCGATAACTTGACTACCTGCGGTTTAAAGCTCTCTTTAGTTGATGTATGCTGATTTTCTTCTTTAGCCTGTAATAAAATATCCATCCGTTATCAGTAGTAGTATTACGATTAAACTGATAAATAGGACATAGTTAATTCATAGAGATGAAGAATGAATGGAAATGAAAGAATACTTTCTTTCGATGACAGAAAAGAACCTTGATAGTAGAAGATCCTCTTTTGTCGAATTCATAAATTTGATAGCATAGAGAGACTGCTTGATGCACCAAAACATGCTCATCAAAGTCGCTTCTTACATTGAAAGTTGCACCACACTCATAACATAAGAAGAAATTTGTCATATCTTAAAAGTAATATAATTCATTGTTACTGCAATTAGAACAACGTAGGAAAAGGATAACTTCGACCTTGGCCTTCTCGCGGAAGATCGAAGAATAATCCAAATCTCAGAAAGCTACATGGCTTAACACTTGCCCCAACCAACATGACTTATCGGGGATTATATAATCCCCCGTAACAATTCGTTACCACTAGCCATTGATGCATTCACAATCTCGCTCAACACACTAGTTTCTCTTTATCATCTTTCCCCCGACTCTCTAAGCTGTTAGTCTTTTTCTATCTCCTCCCCCAAAGCACTCATTCTTCTCATTTTTCTTGTCGCCAATTCGCATTTGTCTAACCAACTTGTTTCCTCTCTTTCTTCTCTCTCCTTCTTTTCTTTCTCTCAAACTGTCGTGTACATTTCTCATAAGTTCGGTTCAGTAGTTGTCTCTTTCTCCCTCATTCTTCTCTCTCTCTCTCTCTCGCAATGAGGATTTACAAAAACGAATTCACTTAGGTATATATATACTATATTTTTGTTTCTCATGTCTTATAGGTATAAAGTTAAGAGATTTTTATATGAAGTTGAAAGGTATGAAATAGGTAGAAGTGGAGTGGCCAGGTGAATTCTCCATAATAGCAATTTGAATTTAACGGAATCCTAATCTTTAACTGAATTTTAATTGAATTGAAATTTAACTGAATCTGTTGCTGAATCTCTTTTTCTAGGTTACATTTTATTTCTGTTTAAATTTTACTGCAGTATGATGGATATTTTTTTATACATGTTTTCTGCATAATTGAATGCTGTTTCAGTGCATTCTAAATGCTGTTTCCTTAAGTGGAGTGTTACTCTTTCTGCTGCTAAAGTTAAATTCATGTATAGTATTTTGTAGAAATTCTTCTACTTAATAAAAAGTCGGGAACGAAATCTGTTTCGTCGTCTGATTTGAGTGATTAAAGGATAAAATTAAAGTCATAATGAAATGCCATTAAATATTATAGGTGCATAATATGAAGATAGAATTGTGCGTCTTTGAATATGATAGTTATTGATGTTATCATTTAGTTGCTTTGCAGTTGAATAGAAGATGGCAAATCGAATCAAAACTCCGACAAATGTCAAACTTCTCACCAATGTAGCAGTGGTCCGAATGAAAAAATGTGGAAAACGATTTGAAATTGCATGTTACAAAAATAAAGTAATTAGCTGGAGGAATAAAACGTTAGTTATTTATTTCAAAAATGAATGGAGTGACTCTATGAGTACTTTGATGAGCGAAGAAGCTGTTCTTGAAGGGAATAAATTGTTAAGGCCGGTTGTAACGAAAATGTGACATTGGACAATTAGATAAATAATTAATGCAATACACCGTCAAAAAATGACCTCATAAAATAAGCTTGATTTCAGAGAAAAAGACATCGATGAAGTTTTGCAGACACAAACGGTATTTACTAATGTATCTAAAGGGCAGGTAGCGAAACGCGAAGAGCTTAATACTGCTTTTGGTACGGACAACCAGTTGGAAATTTGTAAAATAGTAAGTTATAAAGCTATAAGTTTTTGCTTCTTTCAACATTATTTACTACTTAGTAATCTACAATCAGTTTTAGATATTCTTCAAATTTGTTGCTGTTCGTTTCATATAGGCATTATATTACTATCCTCTAAAAGATCGTTATGTTACTTAAATTTGAGTTTCTGTTTGTTGCACATAAAGTAAGTGCTTTTGATTTTTTTCTTTTTTAAATTTCAGATTCTAGAAAAAGGTGATCTTCAAGTTTCGGAGAAAGAGCGCCTGGCGCAATCCGATTCGTCATTTAAAGAAATTGCTAATTTAATAGCGAACATGTGTGTGAATCCGGATACAAAGCGTCCTTATTCTAGTAGTGTTATCGAAAATGCTTTGCATGAAACACATTTAAGTCTGAAGCCCAATCGTTCAGTAAAGCAACAAGTAAGGAAAACTTTGAAAGTTTTGATTCTGGAAGTTTTCAGGGGATTACCGCCAGCTTCATTTGTTTGCCACAACTTCTAGGTTTGATTTCGACGAATTATAATTATAATTATAACATTAAGGCCTTGGAAATAATTCCCAAACTGCGTGAATCAATGAAAATTGATCGGGCAGAAATGCGACTTCGAGTGTCTGTTGAAGCAAAAGAAGCTAAACGCATGCATGATCGATTAAAAGGGATGTTCACAAAAATTGAAGTTGAAGATTGGGAGCAAGGAAATCTTGAGATGGTAAACGTTATGATTCGGTTCTTGAAATTTCAAGACTTTTTTTTGAAAAAAATTTCACATCGAATTTGTCAAACAGCAACATTTAAGGCAGCTGATTTATAATAAATGTAGTATTTCATAATCATTGTTTCAGATAGGACTAATTGATCCTGGTGCATATCGGCCAATCGAAGAGTTGCTTCAGAAAGAAACAAAAAAGGCAGGACATTTGGAATTACTAGCGCTCAAAGTTATTGGTGAAGGTGATGTCGAAATTTCATGATTTATTGTAAATCATTCCATAACATAAATTCCGCTCCACGTTTTGTGTATAATTCGGTTTTGAACGTTTTAGATCAGAATAATCATGGTATTTTCAAAGTTTTAATGGAATTCGTCTTGATTGCTTAAAATGAGTTTGGCGATTTTTCTATGACTACGTCTTTTTCTCTAGGAACTTTATAATTTATTCGGTTTGATGCAACGAATAATTAATATGTTTTTCTTGTATATATAACTGCAATTTCGGAGATTGTTTCGATTAAATGTTAAAGAATACACAATAAATGAAGATATGTCTTTACTAACTCATAATAAATTCTGGGAGCAAGAAATCGGAAATGAAGCACAATAAAGTAAGAATTCGACTTGAAATTTCATAGCAAAACGATCAGTGATTGATCAGTATGGTAAATTGACATTAGAAGATAACTTGAATTTTCACATTTTTTTGAATACATTTTATATCCTTCAGCAGTAATCTATTTTTTTTAGTTGAGCATTTAGTGCATTAGAAGATTAATAAAGGTGTCACTATACAGAGTAGTAATAATATTTAATCGATAAACTAAATAGTGTGCAAAATCATTAGGTTTTCTCAATTATTCAGAGATAAATTTAAACTTGGAAAATTTTTTGGATTCTGTTGAAGTGAAAAATACTCGTTTGGGAAATTTTGCATCTTCAGATTCTCAAAAATGCTTCGTGCAAAATGAGGATATGTTAATCAGTTAATTTGGAAAAGTTTTTATTAGAGATTGACGTAAAAAGTTCCACGTGTAATAGTAACATTTAAAAGAAGAAAATGCCAACGATAGAAATGCGAAGTCTTATATAAATACGAAAAACGGAATCTTTGCTTGGTATAAGAACTCATCGTTGGAAAAAAAGAGATGAATGAAATGGAAATGTTCGAAATGACGGACGTAACCGAACTTGATCTTCAATGGAAGGTTGCATTTGTAGTACCATGGTCTGCTGTAAGGGTGAAAAGTCAAAGTGCATTGGTCTTAAGCTGGTAGAGGTATGAATATCAGAAACGTGTAAGAATGATAATAAGATAATTAAACTGATCTTAACTGTTAAAAAGAAGGAAAAGCCATAACTGCCATAACTGATAATGGGCTGATCATCGCATTGCAAACCAACTAAAACCAATTATCATAGTTGACATTTATTAGAAAGGCTTTTAAACTGTGACAATATTTCCTGACATAAACGAATTATACTGAAAGAACGTTCATACCTCTGTTACAGATATTCTTCATGATGTGGTCACTAAGAATTCAGTAAATGACAAAAACAGATGGAAACTGACACAAAATGGATAATCACGGAACAGTAGTTTAGGCGATGTGTTAACTGATAATTGTTGTTATGCTAAAATAGAATGATAGGCAAAGATAGAAGATTGAAAATTCTCAACGAAATTTCCAGCATCTTTTTGAATAATTACACTTGAAGATATCCACAAAAGACTTAGCTTAAAGTGATAATGGAAAAAGGATAATCTGTTCGATAAACATAAATAGGGTATTATTATCCGAAGTGACAATTTCCGCCACTCTAAATCGAATGAAAACTTACGTCATTAAGGAGACGAACGGTTGCTAAAGTTAATTATCCTATTAGTAATGAGCATTTTAAATCATAAACAAATTCACAATGATTATGCAAGAGTGACCAATTTGTAAACATATAATCATTAATAAGCAGCCAAGGTGATAATTAAAATTGCTTCTGGATAAGTTTTGTCTATATTCATTATTGATAAGTGATAATTATTAATGCTTGAGCACAAATAATGATTCCTTCTTCAATTTTTGCAGTTAAAAATATCCTTGGACGAGCGCTTGGCTAATAGCAATAGTGACCAATTTGTAAACATATAATAAACAATCTTCTGATCTTGTAGGCAATGAATTTTCATCATAATATCCTTACACATTTTTAATGACTAAAATTTCAATAATTATAAAATTATATTTATAGATAAATGAATCCTTCAACGATATGTCATTCCTAATATATCGAATAAGAAGACTAGTATCAGTTTCTTGGCTAATTTTTATCAATCAATTTGCAAGAGAATATTGGTGTATCATTCGTTTGATATTAAACACTATGTAAAGCAATCGAAATAATTCTTGGCCTGAAAATTTGACATTAACAGTTTATTCTTTTCCTGCGTTAAATTATAATTAATTCAAAATCGAAATTAATTAACCTGTGGTTTAATTTTGAGGAGTTCAATTATTGAGGGTCATTTTTTTCAAGGTAAGATACGCTCTTTATTCAATTACTATTCTTGATAAGTGTGATAAATTATAGAATTGTTGAAATTATTGAATTGTCTTAAATCAGATAAACTTGAAGATTTGTTAATTTCTAGCAAAAATTTGTAACGATTATAGAATTATTGATTGTAACAAAAAGTAATTTAATTTTTTGAATAATATCAAAATTTTATTTTGTTTAATTGATTTTATTGATTCGATCGATTCGATCGATTCCTTATTGATTCGTTCAATTAAATGTTAAAATTAAAACTAATAAAATTTAAAGTAAACTAATTCTGAAGAGATAGATATGTTCAAGAAATATGTAAATCTAAATTCCATCTTTTTTTCTACCATAGGTAAAAGTACATAGGTAAATTACTAATAGGTAGGATTTAAATAAAATAGTATCTTTTACTTATGAAAGCAAATTTTACGGACTATTATTGTATTTGATGAGAGCGATAAATAAAGCAATTAGAAATCCGGATTTCTTCATTTCATTCATTTAAAGGTAAACAAATGAAGTAATAATAATAATAGCAAGACAAGATCAGAAGATTGTTTATTAGTGCATGAATAAAGTACGATATAAAGTAAAAAAGAAATTGGGAAAAATCAGGATTTTAAAAGTAAATAAATACTCAGAAACAGTTCTTGAACATAGTATTAGTAGTGGAGGTATAGTATCAATGATACAGGTATATATTATGTTACAGGTATACAGTGTAGGTATTTTCATTATAATTAGTTTTGTTGTCGGTTTTTTTTAAAATATGTTTTGAATATTTGAATACTCAACAAATATTGATAATTGTATCTTTTAATAATATCGTATTCGATATGTTTGTAATTTTCTGAAAAAGGAAATGAAAGAGAGAGAGAGAGAGAGAGAGAGAGAAAGAAAGAGAAAGAAAGCAAAAAGGATAAATAAACTTTTCTAAGGACTAATAGAATATTTTAAATTGCTACTGTTATTTTTAAAAGACAAGAATTATTTAAAAGTTGATTTTCTCTTTCATTTCACAACATTCTTCATTTAGGCTTATGATGGTAGTATGGTAGTATTATGGTATTATGATCGGAGTGATGAAATTTAATTGGAAATGTTGAAATTAACTTTTAAAATGGAAGATACGATTGTGAAGTTAAATAGAAGATAAAAATTAAAGCTAATGAAAATATGATTGAGAAGTTAAATATAAGATGGCTTATTATGGTAATACGGTAGTATTATGGTATTATGATCGGAGTGATGAAATTTAATTGGAAATGTTGAAATTAACTTTTAAAATGGAAGATACGATTGTGAAGTTAAATAGAAGATAAAAATTAAAGCTAATGAAAATATAATTAAGAAGTTAAATGTAAGATATATTCATTAATGAATAATTAATGTAACGATATTGTTTTAATCGGATTTTTATTATAATATCATTACAGAATGTTTTGGATTCAAAAATTAGAAATAGCAATCTTTTCAGCCGAATTATTAATTCTTTGCAGTAATGAGAAAGTAAGAGTTTAAATATTATGCAAATTTTAACTTTGTTAAATTATTAGAAACTAATTATCAGTAATTAATTATTACTGATACACATGAATAATTTCATCAAAAATGCCTTAAATTTTTTGTGGCATATTTTTTTCCGAAACAAAACAAATGATTGAATTCAAACAAATAGGTAGAATTTTCATTACAGTTCCCTTATACATTTTTAATGATTAAAATTTCAGCAATTATAAAATTATATTTATAGATAAATGAATCCTTCAATGATATGCCATTTCCTAGGCTATCACCAATTTATAAAATACTTCCGAATGTTTCTATCACAAATCAATACCGATCATCGAATGTAACGACGATCCAAAAAGGAGCGACAACGTGGTTAGGAGCTATTGTACAACTACCATCGAAAAATATTAATATCCGAGGTCTTAATTCTCCTACTTTACATCGAGGTTTGTCATACATTTTCATACATTTTTTTAAATGAATATTACGCACTGATATTATCATTTAGCATTATCACCTTATCATATTGTTAAATGGAAATTTTCATGTGGTAAAATTAGTTATTTCAAAAAAATATAAGTTACAGATTCACCAGAGCCATATACTGGATTTGGAATTATTCGTTTATATAGTATGCGCTTTTGTCCATATGCTGAACGAGCTATCATTTATTTAGCTAAAAAAAGATTACCGTTAGTTTTTAATTCAAAAACAAATAAATGATTTTAGAAGGTCACAAAAAAAACATCTGAAAGATACGATCATTTACATGATACGATCATTTTATAAGGTCTCTCTGTAGTCGGATATAAAATTATGAAATATTTATTGATTATCTAATCAATAATCAATAAATGTTTAAGAGTGGAAATAACAAATATCAATCCAGGAAATGTACCAAAATGGTTTTTAAATAAAAGTCCGCTTGGTCGAGTGCCAGCTCTTGAAATGAATGGCAATGTAAGTTCGAATTTACATATTATAAATTCATCTTACATTTCTCAATTATACAATCATTGAATTTAATTCAATTTTATTACTATAGCAATTAATTAAGAAATATATATATATAATTGATGATAAATTATAGACAATTTATGAATCATCAATAATTGCTGAATATCTTGATGAAATATTCCCCGAAACAGCTATTCTCCCGCATCATCCACTTATGAAGGCTAATCAGAAAATTCTTGTTGAAAGAATGTCACCGGTAATTATCGTACTATTTCATAAGTGTATTTTGAATTGTTGTATAGAACCGATAAGATCGGTTATAGTTTTAGTTTAAAAAGTACGAAAGTGTTTAGGCGTTAAGCTCATCAAATATCAGGAACATAAAGGCCTATAACCTTCAACTGCTCCACTGTATCATTCTTCATTTCCACGTATTCATCATTATCCAGCGAATCTCTATTAGAGATTAATCTTCTACGATAATTTCATTTAATTTTCTTTGTCTAAAATTACAACGAAATATCGATTGATTGTTTTAATATATTTAGCTTATTTCTATAATGTTCAAAACGTTACATCCCAATAATGCTACAATTCAACAAATTGTTGATAAATCATTACATAATGTTCTTCGAAATGCAGAAAATTTATTAATGGATAATGATTTTTATGGAGGTTAAGTTAATTGTTTTAAATAATTATAATTTAAAATTTTATTAATTAAATTATTTCTCTTGAAACAATAAAATTTTTTTGCTAAATTAGAAAAAGTTAAACAATGCATTTTATTGACTAAAATTAATTGCAATATTTTAAATGTTATAATTTTTTTTCTAAGGAAAAACATTAGGCTTTGCTGATATAATGATGTGGCCATTTTTGGAACGATTACAACTTGTGACAGTTAATCCATATACAGAATTCAGGTATTATTAATTAAAAATTAATGAATAGAGAAATTTGTTAATTATGATAGTATCCATTTTGAATTTAACGTATCATAAGTTTTGTTATGAATTTCAAAATGTATGAAATTTTATGAAAAACACTTCAGATACTTCTTTTTAGATATTTCCCAGGTATTTATTATCCGAAAATAGGCGCATATATGGCTCGTATGCAAAGACAGTCACTTGCACTTCATTGGAAACTCAGCGAGCTAATTTCCAAATTTACGATACAAAAATCAAGGAGAAATACTTTCTACATACAACTCATACAATCTTACTACCACAAAGATATTACCGAACGACTTTTTTGTC